GTTTAGATAACATTTAATTAAATCCATTTTATTGTCGAATACGCGTTCATTTCGATCAAACCAGCAACGTTTTTATTTTTTATTTTATTGACTATTACTAACTAACAAACATCCGTAAGTGTGGATGGTTTCTGCAAATTATATTGAAATCTGTTATAATTAATGTCATTATTTCATTGGTGCGGTCTCTGAGAACTGTTTATTGGTTTTATTTAAATCAGTATACTAATTGTATCGTCATAAAATTAGATAGTCTATAGTCTAGCGTTGAAAAATAAACAATTCTAATATTAAATGTTGTCTTTTTATTTCTGCACAATCTTTTTTATATAATATATAAAAAATCCTGATTGAGAATTCGTTCGAATTAATTAGTTACGCTACCGAATTTCTTTTAAAAATAACAATTTTATTACGTGTCTGCGTGATGCTACACATGTAGATAATATTAAGGAACGTTTAAGACTTTTTTTCTTTATAATGAGTTCGTCGCTGATTTTCAATTTTATAGGCAGTAAAAAATTATGTCTTCTAAATATGTACATAGGTTTATTAAATACTGCCTGGGTAAGAGTGAGTGTTTAAATTGCTTATTTAAAATTTATCGAAATCGCGACGTTTGATATGGCAACACTAACATGGCGCCCGATGCACCGAACGCCGCGGGGACGCTTTGTCCACGTACCTAAGTGCCTCATATTCGGTTACCTGGCTATATCACACGCCTATATATAATATTCATATCTCACATATAGGGCCAGTTCTAAAAGTATTTTATACGTCATCTAAAATTACGAAAATCAACGTTGTCTTTTGAGGGTTAAGAAAGATTCTCGTTTGTAAGCAAACTTAGTTCATGTGACGTTTTTGTTTGAGTGAAATCGATATAATTTTCGTTTTACTACGCTTTGAACAGACCTGAGATACAGTAAATAACTGAACAAAGAGATCTTGTCACACCTTATTTGAAACGACGGTTGTCTCAGAATACGCGGTATGTAATAATGCCGAGCTTTAGAAAGAAAAAAAATATAGGATTATTCATTACTATAAAAATCCTTTTATTTCTTGACTAGCGACCCGCCCTCGCTTCGCTTCGGAAACATTAAAACACACATGAAACCAAAAAAAAAAAAAATTTTTTTTTTAAAAGTAGCCTATGTTCATCAGGGACAATATCGGCTTCTAATGGAAAAAGAATTTTTCAAATCGGTCCAGTAGTTTCGGAGCCTATTCGAAACAAACAAACAAATTTTTCCTCTTTATAATATTAGTATAGATTTTATTTGTATTTCGCAAGTTATAGACATAACTGCTTTTACGGTTTAATCTCGCAATTATTATCATCATATTATTTCTAACAATTCAAATTGTCCAGTTTTCGTGATCACTGACTGACGACTAACATGACATTTCGATATTGTGCTAACTACAGTGTTTTTTACTTGTTTGAAAATGAAAGACTAGAAAAAAAAAATAACGCGAATGTTTTTTTTTTATTGTTTAGATGGGTGGACGAGCTCACAGCCCACCTGGTGTTAAGTGGTTACTGGAGCCCATAGACATCCACAACGTAAATGCGCCACCCACCTTGAGATATAAGTTCTAAGGTCTCAAGTATAGTTACAACGGCTGCCCCACCCTTCAAGCCGAAACGCATTACTGCTTCACGGCAGAAATAGGCAGGGTGGTGGTACCCACCCGCGCGGACTCACAAGAGGTCCTAGAGGTAGATGAAACCAATTATTTAAAAATAATAAAATATAGTGATTTCATTTTATATTTAATGGTATAAAATCTATTTATTGTATGGATGTAATTTCATTAATAACGTATTATTAATAGTACACCGCAACATGCCTAATGCATCTTTATCTTTTCCAGAATTTCTGTAAATCAAACGGATGCCTGGAAGAGATCTCTTTTAGCGAGAGATTTTAGAAGACCGCCTATTGTACAAATGTGTCTGTCTACTTGTTGACTGTTGTTTTTTTATCCTACCTATGCTGATAGCCTTGAGAGGCTATTTCAGCTTTGCCCTAACGTTTGTAGGTGAGCTCGCGGGGCTCAACCGGAGAGTTGCTAACACGGACCCTAGCAAGAGCAGTGTTTCGCAGGATCTACCACCGGATCGGAAACGCGACCCACTGAGAAGATCCGGCAAGAAACTCAGTGGGCTGTGTCTATGGGTTAGTTCGCTCGTCGAGCCCTTCGTTTAGTGTACAACAAAGTATATTCTCTCTCTCTCTCTCTCTCTCTCTAAAAATGCAACATGTGATTACGAGATGACAAGATTACAAAATGCGAGTAACATTCTAATACTCGGAAACATTAATGCGAGTTCCAATTTGCCTACAAAATAAGACGCTTAAAAACGCGTGAAAAGCACGCAATGAAGTATAGGTAATATGTGATTTTGTCGATTTAAAATTTAAATTTCTTTTTTCATGCGTAACGTAAGTTCATTTTCTATTAAGATTGGTGTTCATTTGTTGATATACGATAACATAAAAATATTCAACACGAATAAACTTTTAAAAGATCACCGTGAATGGGTATAATATTCAAATAAACTATTATAGTCGAATAAATAACGGATCAGTACGCTTGAGTCGATTTATTAACGATTTATTATATGTTCATTGCATGTAAGAATAATTTCAATACTTGTTCATTTTTATAGTTCACAGCTGTATAAACGTTTTTAGGAAATTATATGTATTTGGCATTTGCCTAGCTGTTACCGGAGGGTCCATTCACGTCGCAGGGAATGATACTGTCGGAAAATATTATGCACAAATTAAAAATGATTTGCTGATTAAAATAATTTGAATTACTTTTTGGATTAAGTTGCGTTATAATTTATTTGAGGCATATCTATCATCTGATGACTCAGCCGCATCTACTCGTCGGTACACTGCGATCTACCGAGATCCGTCGTATCGAGTCCTGTTACACTCCTACCGGCTGGTTTTGTTTTTTTTTAATTAAGGAAGCGTCAGAACGCTACTTCGACAAAGCAGCGCGACATGACAACCTTCTTATTGTGGCCGCCTAATTACTTATCCGACTCAGGCGACGGAGCATCGCAAAGCCGCCGTCGCAAAAAGCATTGCTTATCGGATCCCCTGGTGTGTGTGAAGTGAATCTCCCGGTGCTTTTATGCTCTTCAAGCACTGGTCACCGTTCTCGTCGAACTCTTTATTTAGATTTGGACGAGTCGAAGAGTTCGGCGTGAAAACTAGCCCATAGACATATCCCACTGAGTTTCTCGCCGAATTATCCCAGTGGGTCGCGATTCCAATCTAGTAGATTCTGCGAAGCACTGCTCTTGCTATGGCCAGTGTTAACATGCTCTTTCTTTCTCTCTCTAAGTTTTAAAATTTTCCAACAAACGAGTAAGTGCCATGCAGACTACCTTCGGATTTTAAGCCATATCCAAATATCATTTTATTTTAGTTTAAATATTTGCAACAAGTAAGAGAAGGAATTTAAAAAACATTCTCTGTAATTACCTATGCTGCGGTATGAAAACGATATTCGACCATCACATTAAAGGTCTAGATGTTGGGTTTGGTTACTGTAGAGTCATCCGAACAAGTAATCGAGAATAGAATATAAATGAATTGCTGTTCGTTAGTCTCGCTAAAACTCGAGAACGGCTGGACCGATTTGGCTAATTTTGGTCTTGTATTATTTGTAGAAGTCCAGAGAAGGTTTAAAAGGTAGACAAATATGAAAATGCTCAGATTTAAATAAAAATAACAATTTTGTATTCGCTTTGACGTGTCCCCCGTCGGACGGATTCCTTTTGTTTGTTTTAAGTTAATTTTATACGAAAGTTTAGGTCTTTTATTTATCGATTGAGTCACTACGAAGTCTGCCGGGTCAGCTAGTCGAAAGAATTAAAGTTTTTATTCAGTCGTACGTGACTTCGCAACATAAAACGTAATTTGCGACCATAATAAAAGACAAGGTAACCAAAGATCATCTACTAATGTGCAGCGATATAATTAGATAATGCTTTGGTATTGACGGACGACGCTTGACGTGATAGAATATGAGCATTATACGATTTTATTTAGTGACTAGCTGTACCCGTCCGTTTCGCTGGGCATTTAAAATTAACATTATTATTTCTCATTCCCATAAAGATTCTCATCATTAACGCCCCCGCAACTGGTGTAGGGAGTCCAACACTCATATAAATATTAGCCTATCCATTAACTACGTGTATTTTCTACATGGATACCATATTTCAACGGTTCAATAGTTATAACGGAACATCCCTAACAACCACTGTAGATTTATATATTAGTATAGATTTGAAATTTAAATCTCAGAAATACAAATTGAATTGTAGTTTTAATTTAAATAAAATATCGTTTGACGACTTCTACATTGTTATGAGCTGGGGTTCAAGATAAGATAATGCGCGGTTTTATAACAAAATACAAGTTTAATAACAGTTCTCGGAATCAACTTCACCAAATATCGTTCTGAACTCACGAGAGTCTGGCGCTCACTAGTATTTACTCAACTAATATTACTCTATGTTATTCTTTGCAAACGCAACTTATTAATGCCATAATTTGCTAAAAGATGACTCTCCCTGTCGCTTATTGCGATGTACCAATACTTTTTTTTTTCCTACTGTTGATAGTCTTGAGAGGCTATTTCAGCTTCACCCTAATGTGTAGATGAGCTCACGGGGCTCAAGCCGGAATTGTTACTAGCACTGGCCCTAACAAGAACGGTGCTTCGCAGAATCTACCACCGTATCGAAAACCCACTGAGAAGATCCGGCGAGAAACTCAGTGGGCTATGTCTAAGGGTTAATTTACTCGTCGAGCCCTTCGCCGGAAGCGACGAGTTCGGCGAAAACGGTGCTTGAGGTACCCTAAAGCACCGTTAACGGATCGGGAGGATCCGTAGTGACGCCAACGCGGTAACGGATGTCCGACGAGTTCGTCCTTAACAGCAAATAAGCACGTACTTACCTCAGGATCGATTTTCTTGTACTCCGGATCATCCTCGTCCACCTCGAAATAGAGTTCCGTGGATGTGAGCGACACTGTCCCGGGCGCCACTAGGCCGGGAGCCAGCAACTTCGCCTTCGTGCTGATGTTCACTGGACCTACGTCAGTGACAGATTTTTATGGTTCCGTGTAAAAAACGATGAAGACAGCGAAATCGAATGAAAGAAATAATAGTTTTTTTTAAAAATCATATTTCAAATTTAAATAATTCCCTTTAGTTTTATCCTGTTGATTTTAAGTTGGTATTTTTTACTGGTGGCAAGACCTATTGTGAGTATGCACGGGTAGGTACCATCGCCCTGCCTATTTCTGCCGTGAAGCAGTAATACGTTTCGATTTGAAGGGTGGGGCAGCCGTTGTAATTATACTTGGGACCTTAGAACTTATTAAATCTCAAGATGGGTGGCGCATTTACGTTGTAGATGTCTATGGGCTCCAGTAACCACTTAACATCAGGTAGGCTGGGAGCTCTTCCACCCAGAAAGCAATAAAAAATAAGCACTCACCAGTAAGGTCAGCATCGATTTCCCGATCGTCTACCAGGAGCTCAGCGTCGTCGAGGAGCTCGGCGGCGGCCGGCGTGGGCAGCTGCGCCCCGCGCCCCGCCCCGCCCGCCGCCAGCCGCGCGTGCAACTCCTCCGTGGCCTGCGCGGTTACAAGCGGACTTACAACCTCGCTTTTGCAGGTTAGCCGTCGGAGTCCGTGGTTTGTAAAGAGTATCGCTTTACAAGATGACTTGGTTCTCGAACTGATCCGAAAACTCATGAAGTCCGCGTCGGAGCGTTACTTCGATAAGGCAATGCGTCATGATAATCGCCTTATCGTTACCGCCGCTGACTACTCCCCAAATACTGATCACGCCCTAGACACGTCCTTACGGTCAGATCAGATCCAATAACCCTTGCATTAGACACCTTCAGCTCTAACGCTAGGAGTAGGGACCCTGGTAACGGTACTCGTCGAGCTCGGCAAAAAGTTCAACGTGCAACCTAACCTAAACATCAGCTAGTTGAATTTCTCGCCGGATCTTCTCAGCGGGTCGCGATTCCGATCCGGTAGTAGATTCTGCGAAGCACAGCTCTTGCTAGGGTTCGTGTTAGCAACGTCGCCAGGTTTGAGCCCCGTGAGCTCACCTACTAGTTAAGGCGACACTGATATAGCCTCTCAAGGCTATCAGCTTAGGTAGGCAAAAAAAAAAGTTCTACGTTGACAGGTAATTCAACACACGCTAGCGGTAGACAGCGGCTTGGCTCCGCCCCTGGTGTTGCTGAAGTCCATGGGCGACGGTAACCACTCACCATCAGGTGGGCCGTGTGCTCGTCTGTCTACAATGGCAATAAAAAAAACGCTCCATGTTGAGACGTCCAACATCCCAATTGCATTAGAATGTTGGGTGGCACTCTTCAACCAGGAGCCCATTATCCCCTGGCGGTAGATGTAGCGCGGCGCTGCAGAGCGTGCTGACCTGGAGGATGGCGTCGTGGGGCGGCGGCTGCGCGTGTTGGCGCACGAGCACGGCGTCGTCGTGTCGGTGTCCGCGCGGGTCGGGCACCAGTCTCCTCCGACGCCGGGCATCGTCCTCCCACGAGTCTAGCTTCCAGAACTGCGTGCCGGTCCTACAAACAGCCTCTTTGTATTAAAGAGCTCTACGAATGTATGACAGCCTGGTAACTTGATCAAAATATTTCACATTCCCGTCAAAGATATAATTAATACGTGAAGCAAAAACATTGTACTCCTCTTTACGAAAATTGCGTGGGCGGAGAAGCATAAAATTTCCCACACTTATAGAGAATATAGAGAAGTACGAATATAGAGAGAATATAGAGAACACTATTTATATACTCTTTGTTTATTGTTAAACTTTTGTTATTTCTTATAGTTTGAGATTGAGAATAAATTAATATTGTTTGTCTTTAATATTATTTGTCTATAGTGTAGTCTTGGCGAAATCTTGGCGAAATTATAGAAATCTAATAAGTTGTTGACAAAAAAATCATAATGATGTTGAAACTTAAAATTTCAATTAATTATAGTCCATATTAATATTAATTTTAGACCACCACCACCACAAATAGGCATTTTTGCCTAAAATAGAAACTATTTTCTATTTTGTTCAGTAACTATATGTACTACAGTATTATATGATGTACCGCCTATTGCACAAACGTATCTGCTTGTTGACTGTTTTCTAATGTTAATTGTGTTTTGGTGTGCAATAAAGTATGTTCTCTGTCTCTCTCTCTCTATGATGCAGTTTAGTTACTAATATATTATAGGATATAATCAATTAAATAGATATGGCATATTTTAAAGCGCGGCATAGGCTTACCCGGCCTGGTGTGCTGCAGCGTGGCGGAGCTTGTCCAGCAGGCGGGCGGCGGCCGCGGTGTCCCTCCTCCTCGCCGCCGCGATCAGCCGCTCACAGGTCCTCTCCTCGTCAGCTCGCTCTGCGCTACTCGTGGCGCAAAGGCACTGGGGGTTGTTGAAATGAACAAAAGTTATAGGATTTCATTTTTCTTTTTTTATTGTCTAGGTGAGTGGACGAGCTAACGCCCCACCTGGTGTTACGTGGTTACGGGAGCCAATAGACATCTACGACGTAAATGCCGCCACCTACCTGAGATATGAGTTCTAAGGTCTCAGTTTTTACAGCACAACGGCTGCCGTACCTTCAAACCAAAACGCATTACTGCTTCACGGTAGAAATAGGCAGGGTGGTGGTACCTACCCGTGCGGACTCACAATAGGTCCTACCACTTGCAATGATGGAAATTATGATTTTGCGGGTTTGATTTTTATTACACGATGTTATTCCTTCACCATGGAAGTCAATCGAGAACATTTGTCGAGTATGTATTTCATTAGAAATATTGGTACCCGCCTGCGGGATTTGAACATCGGTGCATAGCTAGATACGAAGGCACCGGACTTACAATTTTATAACCAGACAAAACAAAAAAACAATGTACCTATTCATTTGTTATTTTAATTTCTATTAATTCAATATAAACGGATTATATACAATTACAATAACGGATAATTACAATAATAAGTGTTAAAGATTAATCTAAACTAGACTTCCTGTATTCAATATTGACAGGCTCTTGTCTATCTTCATCGTCTTCATCGGTCGTGGCCACTGGCAATGCCAGGGGCACAGCCGCCACGGTACCAGGATAACATAGCACCAAAGAGCTCACCTCAAAATCAGCGTGTTTCAAAACGTCGTCAGCTCTCATTCTGTTGAGGATGAACTCAGCTTCGTTCGCAACGCGGACAATGTGGTCCCTCATGGCGTGTGACAGTAACCGTCCCTCGTTGATGAGCTCGATGAAGGCGAGGCCGGCGTGCTTCTGGAGGGAGTTCTGCCACTCTTGCGAACAGAGCAACATCACGAGTTCCACTACCGAAGTGCTGGATTTAAATGTTTGGAGACCTGCGCCATATCACGTTATCTATCAAGTCAAGTAACCAAGAAATTTATCTTTCGATGTATTCAGCAGCTCCTTCTAAAGCTACTGGTGGTAGGACCTCTTGTGAGTCCGCGCGGGTAGGTACCACCGCCCTGCCTATTTCTGCCGTGAAGCAGTAATGCGTTTCGGTTTAATAGGTGGGGCAGCCGTTGCAACTATACTTGATACCTGAAAACTTATATCTCAAGGTGGGTGGCGCATTTACATTGTAGATGTCTATGGGATCCAGTAACCATTTAACACCAGGTGGGCTGTAAGCTCGTCCACCCATCTAAGCAATAAAAAAAAAGCTTGCCGTCGAATAGCATTACCAAAGCACCATAACTTACGGAGAATACAACGAATGAAAACTAAATATTAAGAAACGTATTTTTAATGTTAACTGGTTAAAATATTTTTAGCAATTTAAAACAAGAGCATTTCAAACTACCATGCTTACAACAGTGTACCTTTACCCTCCATCAGGAGCTCCTGTCCGTGACTTCCTACCAGGGTCTTAGAAAGGAAAGGAGCAAAATCTAGCATTATCTCCCTCAAAAGCGGACAGACAGGGCCCAGGGCTGTCTCAAGCTTGTGGGTCAGAGAGGCTTCCCGGGACACTCCGTCGGCCGACATCGAAGCGTTCATTGCATTTAAACCAGCCAGTGTCTCATTGTCCTGCAATAAACAAAAGGATAATGGGTAAGTTTTTAGTGACCACACAAGGGCGTGGATTTGAATTCGTGTTCCACATGTGGTGATACTGCATTGCGTTGTAACATCATGATGATTTAAATCCATCTTTAAAGCTGATGTTGAGTGGTTACCGGAGGCCATAGACATCTACAACGTAAATGCCGCCACCCACCTTTAGATATGACTTCTAAAATCTCACTTGTAACAGTACAACGGCTGCCCCGCCCTTCAAACCGAAACGCATTACTGCTTCACTGCAGAAATAGGCAGAGTGGTGGTACCTACCCATGCGGACTCACAAGACGTCCTACCACCAGTAATTACGCAAATTATAATTTTGCGGGATTGATTTTTATTATACGGGTTGTCATCAACTACTAGTCGTTCTTTTTAAATCATTGTTAGGAATCCACTTGCAGCTGATCCTATCATCTTAGCTGCAAGCTGTATTCCAAGCGCGAGGTCTGCGGAAGCCATGCTGCTCAACTTACCGGATGTAAATGGCGTTGTGCAGCCTGAAGGTTTCTATTTTGTCGTTGTTGAATGTGGTGATGTGAATCTGTAGTCCTCATATGAATCTGTTTGTCGATATCTGAATAGAAAATAAAGAAATTATAGAAAAAAATATTTTCTAAAAAAAAAAACGCTGGCCCATTGACTGCTTTTCGTCAAAATTGATTTCGTGTTTGGAAAAATAGTAGTACGTGACGAAGTTGCACGCGTTTTATTTATTACTAAAATAATATATTATATCGATAAGTGAGTGAGTGAAAGACTGTATAAATAATTTTTAACAGACTTACATGAATATACTCGAGATTTAAAAAAAAAGCGTGGGAATCTATTTCTTACGAAGTCTGCTAGCGTTGAAATAAAAGTATAAATAGTGTGATAATTTAATCTTTCAAAAGCATCTTCTCAGTAAAATAGAGTAAATTTACCTTAAATTGAATGATTTTTTAAGTTATACCTTACACTCTTTTAAAAATTCATTAAATTAATTAAATAGATTATTTCATAGCAATAAAAAAAATTGCTTTTAGATTACAAAAAATACATCGCTTTCTAGAATCACAGTGAGCCATAGCCGTGTTTAAAGCAAATTTATTTATATCATTTTTTTTGTTGATACACAAAACAAATCACAATTATTACAGTACATTAGATATTAGCTAAATCGTACAAATAGTACCAAAATCTAATCTGAATTGTAATCTAAATGATATATGCACTCAGCAAACCCGTCTTAATTTACATAGCGGGCGAACCTACAAATTGGATATTGAAAACAAAATTACAAATAAAAATTAAAAATTACAAATAAAATTACGAATTTTATTAAAAATTAAAAAACGAAGTATCCACATAAGTAGACAGCTACAATACAACCAACACAAACATATTAATAACTAGCCATTGTTAAATAAATTATCCTTCACGCATCTGACAAATCCCCTGAGTCTAGGTCCAAATTACACAAAGTTTATACACCACCGACCTTCATGTATGTTTCCTTCGTGGTCTCTCGTTCTCCCAGTAATGGTGGCCGGACCCCTTTCACCTTCCTCATTCAAATTAACATCGGTCCAAGATTCGTCATTACTGGCCTGTCGGAAAATTTTGAAAACATCATTTTTTTCTTTGTCACCCGATATATAGCAAGATCGAGCATCGGCTGAACACTTTGACGTTTTGATTACTATGCTATGCAGATGGTTGTCTGACAAAGCCCTTGTATAGTGAGATGATAGTTAGAAGAGCATTAGTTACTAACCGCGTGTTTGTTATCATCTAGAGCGATCTCGCTGGAGGTCTCAGGATCATTGTTAGTAGTCTCATTAGAGTTGAGATGAAACGAGCCGGCGTCTTCGATCGAATCCACGCTCTGGAGTAAGTCAAACTAGTGAAAATCTTTAATTTGAAAAATGTGATGCAGTGCAATTGATTACCGGAATTTTGGGACCTTTAAATATAATTCACGCGATTCAAGCCTTAATGTTCACAAATCTTGAATAATTTAAAGTTAAATTTAAGTTACGTATACAGAATTTTCAAAAAAATTAATATATATTTTGACGTATCTCAGTCTCAAACCTGTGTCTTCTTAAGCGAGATGAAAAACACATCATTGGTACATCAGCGCTTCGTCTGTGAGAACTTTTATGACTAATCAAGATGAGGATTCTATAATGAATTGTACCAGGGAATCATAGACAAAGAAGAGTTCGGAACAATTCTACTCCAAATAGTTCGTGTAGATAGTGACGCTAATTGATGTTAGGTGAAGTTTTCTAAAAGGTGAAAAGAAAGACATGCTTAAGGGTTCAGGTGAAGAAGCAAGCAAAGCTAAAACCGTGCCGGAGAACATAAATCACAAACTACAGGAGACGCGTTAGTAGCTAACAATAAAATAACATTTATCTGGTGTTTCCAAAAACATTCTTAATTTACCTACGCATATTTACATTTTGTCGAATTTCAAACATTGTGCTTCGTGTCGAAGTTTTTGTGTTAATTGTTAATTGTGTTGGATTTGTACATAGTTCATGACGTGAGCGTTGCTGAGCATTAATCTTGTGTACAAAACGTTAATCACGTTATTGTTATAATGTTGTGGAAGCTCGTGTGTGTAAGTGTCGAAAATTCTGGAATAATGATTCTTCTGGTGAAACGTTGTCGTTTTAAAGAATAAAAAAAGAAGAATATTAAACTGTATTTGGTATTTAAATTCATAAATAACAAGTGTATTTCGCCAAAAGATACCAGGAGACCAGAAATGACTAAAAAGTGTACGAACTAAACTTTAACATTTTCACACAGTTTAATTTTATTACGACTTGTACAAACCAAATTGACCACTGACACCGTTATCCCGGACAACGTTTTGGACCTTGCAGTGGGATGCTTACAACAAGACAATAACATTCATTTAGTAACAGAAATCATTAATAAAGTACTCCACATTAAACTAAGTAAACATTTCATAATTAGTATATAAACATATATCAAGTAATCAATGCAGTCAAATTCTTCTCGGCCATTTTCTATTTCATAAGATATTTTGACGTTTCCATTGAAGTTGAATTTCTCTGCATCGATCAATACAAAGTACCACATCAAAAAAGGATCCCTGAAGAGCAGAGTCAGAAGGAGACGCATGAACTAATAGAAAAGGACAGAGCGCTTTTCGTTTCTCCGTTCGATCTTCGACTAACCTTTATTTTGGGCTGCGGTTTCACTCGGAGGCTCGACTTGAAAAGCGGTTCTTCCTTTTCTGGGGTGGGCGTCTCAGCCGGCTTACTCAGCTCGGGCTGTTCCGGAGACGGCGGCTTCAATTCTATGGCCGTTGTTTCTATTTTTGCCACAGCATCTTCCTTGGCTTCCGACTCCTTTATTTATTTTATTGTAACAGCAAAACAAGATACATGTAATAAAGCCTACACATCGAATCTTCCAGATTAATTGACACTGACGGTAAAGGGAAATGTACATACAGCAAATGAACTTGCGAAACCAAAAAAATATGGGATGAAATCGATCAATTCCACAGCAGAAGGGCGGTCGGGGACATGCATTAAAGCCTCTTAGCTAATTCATATTTGCTAACTTAAAATGAAACACAATTAAATATTCGACAACTACTCACGGACACATTCAATGCGCACGTTCATACAAAAGTCTAAAACGCAAATTCCATGCTAGAAATTCAATCTAAATTTACTGAAGTAAGTATCCTATTGTTTACATCCTAAATTTAGAAGATATAGATACATACGACAATGCAGATTTATAATATAAAGTTCCTAAGTAACAAACACAACTTTTACTGCGTCAACAACGATTGTAACATCATTCATCGGCATGACTTGTGACCGTCGGGTTTGACCTTACCTTCATCGATGGTGAATCTAATTCGTTTATTGTAGAATTGTTCTCGTCAACAACAATCATGGCGTATTCCACATCATCCCCGTTGTGTTCTAAAAGAAAACGCAATGTTATTTTTTTAAATATTCCTGACAAAAAAACTGGCAACATCGATGAAGCTAGCTCGATAAAGCGGATAGTTTTTGCTATAAAGAAGGTTTTTTTTTTTCTATTTAATAACTATTAATAAATTTAGTACTGACATTCCGGATTTTAGTTTTCGTACAATATATAAGATTACAAAGTAAATATATCTATTTTTTGCAGAAATCCGAAACAATTAGGTACACTAAAAACTACTTATTTCAAAATTTGGAGTCATGCTACTCTCAAAATCTAAGTTTTAAAATTTATGACGCAACCGAATTCGAAAGAACACAAAATACAAGCGGTGCCTTAGCAGTGGTGTGTGTTATGTTTTGTTTAGATATCTACAGGGATCGGAGGAGGAAAGATTCGGAATGGTTCGAAAGTCTTCAGGAGACCGAGACTTAATTCGATGATAATTAATTAGTGATAGTACTTTATGACAAGGCGGTGTTAGGAAACAACGCCAGTAGCGTCCGCCTTACAAATGAGAGAGAGAGAGAGAATACACTTTATTGCACACCAAAACACAATTTACATTCAAAAACAATCAAAAAAAAATGAATTGCTTTTTGAAGAAAAGTATTGAGACTGTAATGTAATCTTTGTGGTCTCAACTCTGTGGTACGTTAGAACATGTTAGCAGTGCAGTGTTTCTCAACCTTTTTTTACCATGCCCCATTGTAATTTTTCTAAAATTTTTTTGCTCCCCATACATAGTGCTCCATATAAAAAAATTGATTTGTTCAGATAACATTAAATGATAGGTTTTATGAAGAAATCACTATGAAATTGTTATCAAATAACAGTAAGTAATATTTCAAAACATATAATAAAAAACTAAAATTCAAATTCAAAATAATTTTAATACAGATTCTGTATATTAATTTAGTGGGATTGCCCCCCTTAATTATCAAATTGCCCTTTTGTAGGGCGTGGACCCCGCTTTGGGAAACACCGGTCTAGTGTGAAATATGTTTAAACAAGTTTCGGTCTCCAATAGCAGGATTATTTTCATATTGGATGCGGGCGTGTTGTCACAGAGTCCCGGTGCGATGCGAACGCTTCGTCCAGGCCTTGTTACCTGCGTGTGTGCGGTGGTAACTAGCGATGCGTGAGTGTGCGTGCGTGTTATTGTTAACGTGTTGGCTGCAGTCGAGCTTGCAGTGCGAGTGTGGATGTCGGTGAGCGGGATGCCCACCCGGCAGGAACTGCGGGTACACGTGGTGCGACCACTGGGGGAACAGAGGCCTAGACCCTGGGGTTATAGGGCGAAGTCCAAGAAAAATTCCGGCAGAAGAGGCCGGATTTTGAAGGAAAACATGTATGTGTAAGTGAAGGATAGAGAGAAAGCGTAAATGTTTTTTTTTTGAAAGTGCGGTTTCATTTAAGCATATTGGTACCAGGATATTATAAACGAACAGAGGTATAGATGTCGAAATTTGTTAATGTGTGCGAGGCGCAAGTGTAGTACGATGTTCGGATCAATGAATTTGATCAGGTTTTACCAGTGTCCAATTCGTGACGCGTATATCAAGCGGCGTGAAAAAAAGGAGAAACGACACAATTCAGATATACAGATGTATCACATCACCTGCGATGTACCGTCACGCTCGTAATGTCATTGACGCCCCTACTCGAACAAATTATTCAAGAATTTATAATGTGTTGCTTAAATACGACTTTAACATTACTAAGTGACTGTACATTCAAAAAAACATGTATTTAAAATATTTTCGTACAGCTAAACAATTGATATAACGATTTATATGTTTTCAAAAACTAGTGCATACAAGCATACGAAGAAGCCGAACTCAAATGACATCTCGAGGTAAACATTTATGAATAATTTATGATGAAATTTTTTTTTTAAACTAATTAATCATTGTCATTAAATTACTTGCAACGTCTCAGTTCTTCATCTCACTCGTCCAACACCACGAAAACCGTAATGTACATAATATAAGAAACGTCAGAAATAATTTAACTAAAATATTAAACGCGAATTTAAACCGTTTAATTGGTTTTAATTATGGCTACGACTCGCGAATGCCGAAGAAAATTCTAAAACATTAATGCTAATTATTGACAAATCAGACATTTCTATTTGAAAAATAAAATAAATAAATAAACTTGGCTTGGAGTGTAAATAGTGATTTAAAAAATCTAGTTCAATTGAAGTGATTTATGTGCTTTCACTACTATTTATTCTTCAGTAAAATATTCAGAATAATCAGCTAATAATTTTATAAGGTAACATGGTTTTTAAAGTAATCAAATGTAAAAATGATCATAACACTATGCGGGTGTAAAACATTCTAATGTTTCTATTTCAATATTTTGGATTGCAAACAAACATGATAATGAAAACTCGAAATATGTAAGGAATCTAAATACTATTACTACATATAATCGATATGAAACTAATTTGTTTCAAATTCGTAATATTAATAAAATAAAAGTAGGTTTTTTTTTTTAATATTTAAGCAATTTAGTAACTTCATTATGCACGAAGCAGCCTAAAAACAATTTGCCTGTTAAAATTAGTGTCTTTCTCTTTAGTACAGAACTAGCTTATGCCCGCGACTCCGTTCGCGTGGAATATTTAATTTGGCATAACGCTAAATTTTACCCGCCTCTTCATTTACGCAGTGGAACATCTCAAAAGGGACTAAAACCTCGATTTTAAAACATTCTTTATTGGTGCTCCGCTTGCATTGGTCTTAGCGTGATGTTATATAGCCTATATATAGCCTTCCTCAATAAATAGGCTATCTAACACTGAAAGAATTTTTCAAATCGGACCACTAGTTCCTGAGATTAGCGCGTTCAAACAAACAAATTCTTCAGCTTTATAATACTAGTATAGATGATGACCATATCGCGATATTTATAATGTTAGCCCTCGTTTTAATTTTCCTACCGTGATGCTCGTGGGAGTGGTGCGGCCTTCTGGAACATTCCGGAGGCGCGTGGGCGGGCGGCTCCAAGATGTCGCGGTACTTCGAAACCATCAGTACCGAGATGAAATAAACGATGGCAAGCGACAAGAACTGCGCTTGTTTCGTCTCCTCCTGATACGTTTAAGAATTAATTTGTATTAATGTTCTTTAGACAGTGAAATTGGCGTGATAGATTCTGTCCTGCATTACTTCTAATCATGAAGAATATAGGTTTTTTTTACTACCTATGCTAATAGCCTTGAGAGGCTATTTCAGCTTCACCCTAGCGTTTGTAGGTGAGCTCACGGGGCGCAAACCGGAGTGTTGCTAACACTGACCCTGGCAAGAGCAGTACTTCGCAGAATCTACCACTGGATCGGAAATGCGACCCACTGAGAAGATCCGGCGAGAAACTTAGTGGGCTGTGTCTATGGGTTATTCGCTCGTCGCAAGCGACGGATTCGACGAGGACGGTGACCGGTGTTTCTGGTGCCTAAAAGCACCATTAATGGATCGAGAGGATCCGTAATGACGTGCTTTGGGCGACGTCGGCTGTTACCATTCGGTCTACAGGATCGGGTATGTAATTTCCAGCGGCTACGACAAGAGGGTTCTCATGTCGTGCCGCCTTTTCGAAGTGGAATATACGTAAGGAGTACTATCTCAGTGTATTAAAAAGTTTCCGCTGAAAAGGAACCTATTAAAGTGATACCATTGTAGCAAGTGGAATGATTTTAAAAATACTTCACTCTGTTCAAAACTGCTATCTATATTCATTACATTTCCACTTCCTACACTAGCGCTATTTCGGTGAGTCTTCAAACAATAACTTTCTGTTTACAGGTAGACACTTTTTCAATTGCTCCCTTATATAAGATGGTGCTCCTTAGCTCTACACTACATACTTCTGATCTATTCTTAATTACATCTCCCTGGGGTAGGTTGCGCGAAAATTTCAATCAGTATCCTCTGAGGCAAAAATGTTTTTTTTTTTAAATAAAAATTATAATAATTCTACCGAATCAGATCAAAGAGATCTTAGCGCCAAAAGTACTTCATGTTTGAACTATTACCATGTCATTTTATTTGTCATATGTCAATCGCAAAACCAATTTACATATTTTATGTAGATGTTTTATTTAATTTATGCGCAAAATATAATGACTATTAGATATGGGTCGTAGCTACTTACAACATCCCTGTAGATGACAGCGCGGAGTCGATTGACGTCCATGTCCTGCAGAAGCCTTTCCGGATCTTTGACGGGGCTGGAGGCGTCGGCAAGACTCGCCACGACGCTCTACACATATCAATTCACTTTGAGACTTTTTTTTATCACACCTAGATTAACAAACAGATGATCATGGACACAACGAATTGTGGTACTTAAGTCTTCGAAATTAAATACATAATTACTTCGGGGTACAAAACTTTTGCGTTAATCACATTTCACTTCTTCATATCGAGATATCTATTTCGTTCATAGTAAGAAAAAAAACATGCAAAAAATTGTGTCTTGATACAATTTTAAGAAAAAGAAATGGACATATCAAAATGATTACATGCAAAGATATCATGAGTGTGTGTAGCAATTATTAATATTATTACTGTGTGATTATTTTTCATATTACATTCAGGTGCACTGTGCGCGATATTGGAACAATCTGTGCACCGTGAAAACATATTAATTACAACTTAATTTACTCGAAAACGTGGTAAAAAAATATGCAAATCCCCTGAAAATACCAGGATAACATAAACGTCAAGAGGTATTTAAGCGGTAGGAACAAATTTGAAATTTTGGAGGAACACTTTTGAATAAAATTCCCGGTCATTTCGTTTACCTTCGGCGAGGGCGAGTCTCCGGCACGTGCAGCCCTGGCGGCTGCGTACCGCTGGCGCTCCTTGCACTCGAGGCAATTGCGCACCGCACACGTGCACACCTACACACACACACACGCGCGCGTACTAGCGGCTACTGCGTCGAAACGCAGCTACGCTAACACTAGAAAGTACTAGGAGGCTATGAAGTATTAGGAGCATAAAAATAAAATTTACTTCTAAACTTTATTCTAGATACTTTTTAGTATAGAAACATTGTTTCAAAAACTACTAATTGAAATAAACTACTATTACTTATGATAAAAGGTATGCAATAGTTTCGTTTTAATAGAGAGAAATAATACAGAAAATACAATTAAACGGCTTTCTATTTACCTATAATAGTAAAATAAATTGTTTCAAATCGTCATGTGTTTCTTGTAATATTTTCTAATTGCGACAAATAAATCGGTTGATGTAAAAAAATTACATTTTAGGAATAAAAACTGTCTAATGTAAACGGTAACTATTATAATACTTTAGGTAAAAGAAGAAAAATAATCTTTTATACTCTTCTAAATTTCTGCTAACCTGGTATAGATTACAAAAATCAACAGATAAGAAAAACATTTAATGAATGTTTTTCTAATGTTATTTTTAATTTAAATTGAAAATGGTGAATTGGCTGACTATCATTTTTAATTTATTAAACAATAAGTTAGTTATTTTTTTTTCATTTAATTTTTTTTCGTTCTTATTTATTTAATTAGGGCCATTTTGGGAGTGGAAGAGTACAAAAGACGATTATCTTTATTTTCGATTGTCTACTCACAAGTCGGAGACATTGCCTCAGGATACCGCCACTGGACATATTCTTCTCAGCCTCCAGCTCGGCAAAGTTAAGGGCGCTTGCAAATATCAAAACGTCCGCCATGCTGACCAGTCGCTGTAGAAAGGTCACAGCCACCTCCACCGGCATACCCTGGGTCGGTTCGATGACATCGAGTTCGTTCTGAAGTATTAGTGGAATTGTTAGTTACCAGGACACATCGTCCGAGCGAGACTTCAGGTATACGAGTGGAATGGCGTCCAAACTCAGCTGTCAATGAGTTAAGTGTACTTACATTGGGTGACGTGGCCGATGCTAGGAGCGGCAGGAGCCCTCCACAAGCGATGATCAGATTGTCGGCCAACTGACTGATCAGGTGTACGGTATTCACGACAAAGATGGCGTTCTCGCTGCTATTGACGAAGTCTATGACAGATTTAGTGGAATGACTTCGCCAAACCTGAAAAAAGAACATGGACTGGACTGTATAGATATCATCGCGGGAAGCTCTCTCCTGCTCACGTCTGCCGTTGTGCAATATAGTTCGTGAGACAATGACCTCATGTCTCAAGGTGAGTGACCGCATGCTCGTTGTGGTCTATGTTTTGATAATTCATTACGGTCAAAGAAGTAGAAAGAAAAATGAATAATAATAAAAATTTCTTCGGATAACTATCGAAAAGTAACAGTGTTCGCGACGGACATGAATAAATATAAGATTAGAAGAGATACTGTTCGCGACGAACATAAAAATCATAATGTTCCCGACGGACATTCAGAAAAATTAGAAATAGTCTTAGAATAAGTAAATAGATAGAGAATGTCCGTAATGAATAAATAAAGGTGTCCGTAAATAGATAGTAAAGGACAGGGGAAATAAATAGAAATAAATAGAGATAGACAGTATGTTAAAAATAGTTAGCATACAAATGTAAATAGAAATAAGTTAATTTGTAAATGTTATTTTGTAAATAAAGATTGGTCCTCGTGGTCTTTAATTTGGTGTGGGAACGCAGGAGCGAGTCACAATACGGGCGACTAATAGAGCGACTAGGCAAACAATAGGCGAGCGAGACGGCCGAGAGAACAATAGACGCCCACCGTGCTCGGACTCATAATAGCGCTGGCCGAGTGCGCGTGGGCGACCATAAATAAGGGGCCTACCTCGCTGCAAATTCAGTTCGAGACAGCGAGCCGGCGAGTCAAGACCTCTCCGAAAGAAGAGGAGAGCGCCAACCGAACAAGAAAAGACTCGCTCCTACGCCCTGCGCCGGTCAAGCCACGAGGACCGTGTGAACGCCATACTTGAAGCCTTCGTTATTTTCCTCGAACCAATCCCAGCACCCGTTCCGCGACAGCCACTGCGGCAATACTCGAGCCACCACGTTTCAACGAGTAAGAAGTCTAAAAATCACACGTGGTGGCCGAAACCTGAGCGGTGGCCGTCCGGAATAAACAGGGCATAATATTCTAGAGGAGATATTCCAAATTACCTGAATATCAGTTTCCAATGAGAATAACACATCCGACAGCAGCCTCTGGTGGATGTAGGACCAGCGGAACTCGGGGATGCGGAACGGGGGGCGAGTGGGTCCCGGGGAGAACATGGGTCTGGAGCATTTCGATGGACGTTTCGATTCTGAAATTTAATTCAAAATTAAAACTAAATAAAATTGTACAAACCGTAATTCGTTACAAACTGTACTGTTCTAAAGTTAATCTCCATGAAATAACTTCACGCGTTTAAAAATCATTATAATTTATATGAAAACTGTGCTGTACTCACCAAAATGATTAGAGTCCACTTGTGTACTAGTGGACGCACTTCGAGGCCTTTTGGGTGATGATGAAGTGTTGGTACCGTGCGAGGCCACACCCTCACCTCTAGCACTATCCTGCTTACTCTCGCTGTCTTCGGGTAAACTGACCCGTCTTTTTTCTCTCTCACCCTCTCTACCTCTATCTTCATCGGTTTCTTGTTCTTTCTTGTTCGCTAAAGATATGTTTTCACTGATAGTCGAGATTGGTGGAATTTCCGTCGTTTTCTGTGGCTCTGGTTCTTCAGTATCGGCATTTTCAATTTCAATGTTCATATTTTCTTCTGGAATCTTTTCGGATTCTGCAACCTCAGGTTTTTCAGCGTCCTCTTCTCTGGGACTAACCAAGAATTCACCGTCTAGTGGCAAAACGTTCCCTTCGTGAGGATGATCCGAGGGTAACACCCTTTGCGGGCTATTCTCTTCGGTAGGTTCAGTATTCTCAGCGCCCTTAGCCAATGCAGATTCTACAATATCCATAACGATTTCATTAGCTATAGACTCAGCAGCTTGTTTCTCGCTAACGATTTCTTCGATTTCTTGATCGAAGTCATCGCGACCGTTTGGCGTGTTACCTTCGGATTGCAATCCACCGGATATCGCACCAGAGTCGGTGTCGTCGTCAGCTTTCAGCCTCACAGTCTCCAGCGCCACACTGAGCACGTCATTGACAATGTTTACAGCGACGTGCCTCGGATCGTCGATACCGTCTGTTGGTTCATCTAAAACTTCAACTTTTTCCTCAACTTCCTTTGGGCTGGTGGCTTCGCTGGGGGTTAAGTATAGTTCGGATGGATCTGAAAGCTCAGATTCTCTCTCAGTAACGATATTTAAGTCCGCTACTCTCTCGGGACTAGCTGTTTCACTCACAGATAAACTTGAAGGTATTCCCTCACTCTTATCTGTGTTGTCATCTTTAGATACGGTGTCGCCTACATCTCTGACTGGAATATAATCTAAACTTCCTTGTCGGTTGAGTTTTTCGGGTTTCTCTAAAGTCCCTAATCCTGATTCAGTGCCCATAATGGTATCTTCGCTTATAATAGATTCTACTAATTCGTTACTGGACTGTACAACAGGGTTGAAGATTGTCTGTTCATTCTCAGACTCGGCTTCATCGATTGCGTGTTCGACTTCAGAGTCGCGGATCACAGTATCACAACCATCGGCGGAGGGCACTGCGGCATCAACAGTTTTAACGGGACTATGCACTTTACACACTTCACTATAAACGACTTGTGTAGTCCGATCGGATTCTTCCTCACTTTTATCACTTTCGGCTTTAACTGTGGTACAGTTGCACGATTCGACTTCTCGCAACGAGAGCCCTTTTCCGATTTCGGTCTGCGCGCCGTGATTGAGGACGTTCTGCTTCCTGATGGACGCGGGAGAGCTGTCCATGCTGTCGTCTGTGTCCGGGATGACGCGTGGGGTGTGCTGGGTGTCGGCGTGCCTGTCCCAGCCGGATATAGTGGAGATGGGTCGTTGTTGTCTCTCGGCTGGATCTGTGATGTTGTCAGCTCGTCTCTGCTCGTAATGTTCATACATTTGTGCGAACTGCAACTTGAATTCTTCGTACGAAACCTGCCGCAAGAAATACCCGTTGAAAAAAATAGTATCTATTTTAAAATAAAGTAAAAACTACACCGTATTTTATGTACTAAAATAAGTTACCTTTGAATGCACAATAGCTAATGTATCCACCCACACTCTCCAGCCTCCGTATTCATGTTTGATGGCGTGGTGAAGAAGCATCCGGAACAGAGAGTAGACCATGTCAGATATTTTCTGTTCCTCGGCGTTCTTTGGGTGGATATAAGCCATCGCTATGAGCCATTCCTGGAATAAGTATTTTTATATTATGAACTTTATTTTTTTCTTATATCTGTATTTTAAGTACATAGTCTTTGAGTTTTTTTCATTAAATATATATTTATTAACTTTACAAGAGAATTTGCCGGTTTGTAGAGAAAAAAAGAATCATAGGGAAACAGTATTTTTTTCGGAATTAAATAGCATATGCTCGGTACTCGGCAACTTTTCAAACAAATAGTTAAAAATACTTTTACAGTTTTTATCTCCCATTTATCATCTTCGACGTTTCCCATACTTGGCCTAGTTACGTATATATGTGTTGAAAAGAAACGTAAATGTCAAGATATAATTTTATTACTAAATCAGAGACTGGTTAGCATAACATATAAATGTTGACGAATAACTTCTTAGTCGTCCGTCATCACGAAATACCGTATAAATAGTTTTATTTAAGTATCAGACTCGTAAAAACCAAATATGTAACACCATAAGATCTCAAAAGAATTAAATGTGATTTATTAAAAATGAATACATATCCCACATACGGTGCGATAACGTCACTTATGCAAATCATGTAATTTTTCAGGGGCAACATTGGAAAATTCAACATCTTATTATATACTTCTTATATAGTTTTGCTAGGCTATAGAAATAAAAAGAACTACAAACTTCTTCAGTAAAAGCAAACATCTCTCTCGTCTCACCAATAACTATTAAAAAATGTATTTTCTCATACTCAGTTCAGCGTTAACAAAAATTGCATAAGTAATAATAATAATAATATTTATTCAAGCCTCTTAAAATGCAAACACGTACAAGAATTCTTAACAGTAATATAATTATATAGATGGCTTTTTTATGAGGTATACAATAACAAAATTCCCTGACTTTTATGCTAGGAAAACCTGTGTTACAAAAGTCAGTGGTTCAGTGCTAGGTCACCAGGTAAAGAAAGTTAACCAGGAAGAGCGATCTGTAAGAATATAGTACGTACGTGTGCGTGTGTGTGTTTGGGTGTGTGTGTGTGTGTGTGTGTGTGTGTGTGTGTGTGTGTGTGTGTGTGTGTGTGTGTGTGTGTGTGTGTGNGCCAAGACTTCAGACTGACTTTATAGTACCGTATGTGCGATCTGTAGTTAGTTATATCTTCATGTTCGTGGGTGATTCCTGAGGCACCGCGCCCGGTACCCATCTCGTCGTTATTCGGCACAACAAAACGTCAACAATGCGAAATATGACACGTGTAAACATGTCATATTTGTCGCATCGTCGTACGTCTGGTTAGCCGCGCCGATCGCATCCATTGTTCAGGTTGCAATTCAAGAATCCATCTTCTCTGTTGTCTTGTTAAGCTATAGTATGATTAGTTGTCTTGTGACAATTGTAATGGGTAGGCGACGGTTTTTTTTATTGTTCCTATGGGTGGACGAGCTCACAGCCCACCTGGTGTTAAGTGGTTACTGGAGCCCATAGACATCGTCAACGCAAATGCGCCACTCACCTTGAGATATAAGTTCTAAGGTCTCAGTATAATTACAACGGCTGCCCCGCCCTTCAAACCGAAACGCATTACTGCTTCACGGCAGAAATAGGCAGGGTGGTGGTACCTACCCGTGCGGACTCACAAGAGGTTCTACCACCAGTAGAAAAAGTTGACAGTGTTTAGGATTGCTGATGTCCATGAATGCAGGCAACCACTTACAACCAGATAGGCTGTGAGCTTGTCTGTCTTCAATGGCCATTAGAAACCCTAATTTAAAATAAACAATGTCTCATTAACAAAGATATGTATCATAATATATATTACTAGCGATCCGCCCTCGCTTCGCTTCGGAAACATTAAATTTTATTATTGATAGTTGAGTCCCGCGATGTTACCCGTGGTTATTGACGTACCGCGGGGGACGCCGCGGGGCGAATCTTGCCTTAAAAAAGTAGCCTAAGTTACTCCTTATATCATCAGCTACCTATGAGTGAAAGTCCCGTCAAAATCGGTCCAGCCGTTCCAGAGATTCGCCGGAACAAACAGACAGGCAGACAGACAAAAATTGTAAAAAATGTTATTTTGGTGTATGTACCGTATATATATTCATATGCATAAAAAGCGGTTATTTCAATACTACAAATAGACACTCCAATTTTATTTTTATGTATAGATGTAAATTTAAAATCGTCCACCAGGAGCTCATGAGCTAAGAGAGGTGTGTCCGCACCTGCCACACGGACATCTGCAGCACGGTGCGCCGGTTCTCGCGGTTGTTGCTGCACAGCAGGGTCATGTCCGACAGGAACAGCTTCTTCACTTCCAGCAGCTGTTCCGTTTGCTTCGACTGCCTTATCAGCGTGGCCACCACCTTCAAGATCACTGCAAGCGAAAATATATGCCTTATACTTTAAGGTTTACTGGTGGTAAGACCTCTTGTGAGTGCGCACGGATAGATACCACCACGACGCCTATTTCTGCCTTGAAGCAGTGATGCGTTTCGGTTTGAATGGTGGGGCAGCCGTTGTAACTATACTTGAGACCCTAGAACTTATATCTCAAGGTGGGTGACGCATTTACGTTGCAGATGTCTATAGGCTCCAGTAACCACTTAACACCAGATGGGCTGTGAGCTCGACCACCCATATAAGCAATAAAAAAAATATCACACAGCTCTTCCAATAATTATATTTCCGTGCGGTCAATCAAAGATGCTCACTAGGATTTTCGAGTCTGAAGTGTGGCTGCGGCTCCGGGTGGCTGGTGTACAGTATCTGCTGCCCGACGTGCTCCGTGAGGAGTTCGTACAGGGCGTTGTAGACGGGCAGGGCCAGTCCCTCGCCGCTCGCCCCCAGTCTGGTCGCCAGCAACGTGTACAGGTTGTGTGGCGACATTACGTCGTATTTACGTCTGCGAACAATTCGAGATGAAGCAGTTTTAGGCGTCAATTATATTTGACTATAGCTTCTGTTGCCCGCGACTTTGTCCGCGTGGAATAGTTACTTTGGCGTAACGCTAAAGTTTACCCGCCTCTTCATTTACGTAGATAGTGAAAATATTTTTGAATAATAGCAGTAGTCAGTAGTTCCTGAGATTAGCGCGTTAAAACAAACAAACTCCTCAGCTTTATAATAATTTAAGCCCCCGCTTTGTTACTTCGGTAATCATGAAAATAAGAAAAAAGAAATAGTACTTAACAGTTCAGGTAAATTCTGCAAAATTGTTACTGATCGAGTGTAAATCTATGTTTTATTTTGCGTGGTTACAATATTTTTTATCTAGTTAGTTTAGGTGGAATCAGTCTTTTTGGAGGGCGTTCGTGAGTATGTATTTAGTATGTGTTCCCTCCAAAAGAAGGGTAGTTTTGTTTGCGGGATTTGCACATCGTTCGATCAGTTCAGATATTCGTTATGAGAGTTCTAACTTACTTGTGCGTGCTTCTGCTCAGAAAGAAACCGAGAAGTTTTAGCGCCTGTAACCTTATTAATTGACTTTCTGACGCCAACAGCTTGAATATTGTCCTTATTCCGCCCTGGAAACATCGAGAACACGTTTAATAAACTAAAGCAAATAAACTAAAAAAACGTTCTAATGAGTCTAATGGTAATTTCGCTAAGCCCCTTCAACTATATTACTCTGAATTTTCATCTCCTTCATTGTTCCTTGAAAGTCCTGCGACCGTACGCACTTGGTTAATTAATGATCGTATACTAATTTTACAAAAAAATATACTTCCTAACTGACTAATTTTACTAATAACTAGATTTACATTTTTGTATGTACATGCATGTGACTAGGAGATGTATGGAAATGGTAGTGCAAGGTAGAGGGGGAAGAGGTCGACCGAAGAAGACATTGATGGAGTGTGTGACGATATGAGAGAGAGAGACAGAGAGGAGTGACTGTTGAGATGACGGCTGATAGAAGAGAATGGAAGAGAAAAATTAGCTGTGCCAACCCCACCTAGTGGGATAAGGTGGAGAAAAAGAAGAACCAGGTTTACATTTTTACCAAACACATTTGGTTCGATGGTTGGACCTTACACAGATATTACTTAAGGTATTAATAAGTGCTTACTTTCGCGTCAAAAGCAGGTACCATAGAGCTAGGGTGCTCGGACATTAATGAGATCAACATCTGCAGAACATCATGCAAGTTTTCATCCTGAAAAATAACATTTTTGTTTTATTCGGTTGAGTGGTTGGCACTCTTGACTACTTGCAGGATAAGGTTTGATTCCCGGTCCGGACTTTTTTCTAGATGAACCGATTTTGATGATTCTTTTTTCATTTGAAAGCTAATGCTTCTCATGTGGTCCATTTTCATTACATTCAATATATTTATTTTTACCATTGTCAAGATCTGATGAGTAGTTTTTGAATTATTTTAGTAGTAGTACATGTTTAGTTGAATGAATTGGGCTACATAGAATATATTCTCATGTTATTTTGATGATATCGGTTTAAATTTTTGTATTAGTAATATAAAATTTAAAGGACTACTTGTTACAAATAGAGGATATAAAGGTTTTCCAATTAATTTCAAACATTTTTTAAAGAGTTTTTGTATAATTTAGTATTTTCGTGGCCATTATAGGCAGAATACTGGTCGGTTACTTCATAAAACGCAATTTAATCATATTTTTTACACACAAAATATTATTCCTAATGTCTTGTGATTAGAAAACAGAAATGTTTAAATGTTTTTAAAAATAAAGGGCCCAAGTACATTATAAGGCACGAGACACACACGGTCATTTGGCTCCAAACTAGGTTTCCCTCAATTTATTCGTCACGCGAATGTTTGCCCGATGTGGGAATCGAACCTACAACCCTTGGCTCGGCGAAAGGCGCTAAACTACTGCTTTACCAAGTCAAACATCGTCAATATCATATTTGAAAAGGCATTATTAATTAACTAATTACTCATTTTTAAATGATTGATGCCTTTTTCATATTTTCATCAAAAATGTACCAGGCGAACATACCTCGTGCATGGTAGTTAGATAGTTGAGTATAGATTGCAGTTCGTCCTCCTTGACGCCATTCCCGATCATGATCAGTTGTTTCAAAAACAACAAAATGTACGCTCGGATTGTTAATATATCTTTGTGAGCTGGTCGAGGACCATCTGAAATAAAAAAAACCGTTAAATTTTGCAATGCCAATTATTTCCAATCTGAAAAAAAGAGTAACAAAATTCGTATTTACCGAGTCCTTTGGGTGCGATTCCACTTTTGGCCCTCGGGTTCACGACCCAGTAGTAGAACTTCAGCGTGTGAACAGTCTGCAAGACCGTGCTCACTCTCCTGACGCTTCCGTATATGTGGGCGTCAGCGAGGAAATCCGTCGCCAGATAGCAGTAAAGCCTGGCCTGTACTGCAGCAGGAGTGTGGATCCACAGCGCGGGGTTGAACAATATGTGGTCCAGGAGCTGCCACGTCAGAAAAGTTTGGCAGAAAGACTGCGATTAACATAGACTTTATACTGTTCGATGGTTGATAGCGATATGCTCTCTTGCTCTATGCGATCCTAGTACGTTATATCATATTTATTGATTAAGTGAAATTTTAATATAAACGGCGATGGATTTATTGTAATTAAATTTTGGAATCATTTTGAAGCATAAATTATCTATTTGTGTGATCTACGGAAAGTGTAAAATTTAATAAAGTGTTTATTGCTTCTAATGTGCCATTTCCTCCGCAATATTTCCACATAAAAATCTGTTTTGCCTTCGAGTAAATTATACTTGTAAATTGCTAAAACGATAAAGCATTTTGTAATAAAACCAGGGGTTCATAAACAGAGGATTGTAATCGTAAAGAACGAGTGTAGATAACAGAGCGTGAAATATGGGGATTAGGGAGACGAACGAATGCTAAAAAGGTTTCACAAAATCCACACGCGACTGCTATAAAATAAATTTGTATTAAAACGTTACGATAATAATGTACTCCACGGAACGAATTTTTATTTGGATCCAGATAGACGGTACTGAGGATTTTATTTTATAATTTATTTAGAGATTAGTTGAAATTTCACGATTTTATTAATGAAGCGATTTAAATAATAATTACGTTTTGTTGGATATAGTGAAAACTTCATAGCATTTTTGGTAAAGTAATACCAGAGCGACATATTTTATTAGGAGGTTTGTTGTAACCGTAGGGTGTGGAACAGTGTTACCAACAAAGTCGTGAAAGCAAGAGGAACATGCGCTAACAACCATCAAATACAATAAACAAAATCAAAATCGTCACGTGCATATATTTACATTTGTTTCTTGATCGCCAATTAATATTACCTAAATTATGTTTTATATAAACACTCTCCAACAAACTACGGAAATGTTTTGACGATCAACGAAACATTGTAAATGCAAAAACAAATGCAAATTTTAACCAAAAAAATATGCACCACTTGTGTGTAATCAATTTTTGTCGGGTTCAGCATAGCTATCATTCACTACTATTTCAGACCTTATTGAATAGCTATAAAGGATATTTTTGCCAAACATGTTTTATTTAAATTAAATATAATTTCTTTATAATAAAAGTTTGAGTGGAATTTCAACACAGAATACGGCAATGCAAGAAAAAGGAAAAATAATAAGAGAAAAGAGAAGAAAGATTAATCGTATATCTATCTCGTTTCATCATCATGGTACTCAAACAAAAAAAAAAAGGCTGTAATCTGTATTTATGTTTATTGGCATTAAGTTTTCAAAATAAGTATCGTGATCTGAAAGTATCTTGTTTTCCGCATGTTTTCATTTTGTTTCATTCTACTACTGTGCACCCGTCACGTCATTACACTATCAGCCACCATTTCGACAATTTGTTTTTCTGTACAAATAACTCCCTGATTTAAGCATTTTGTACTACTGTACATAGTATTCGAAATATTTGTAAGCAGATTTACCGGAAATATCAGACTTACCTGTTTTAATAGCAGATCAGAATTAGGAGAGCAGCAAGTTACAAGATGTTTCGTTAAATGCAGGAAGGAGGCGAGCGTATCAGGCGTCAGGTGGTCTCTGGAGCACCGCTGCAGCATGTGAGAGATCACGAGGAACCCGCGACACTGCAGCATGTGTTGCTGAACCGTGCTGCAGGATTCCACCAAGGAACAAACGAACCCAAGCAGCTTCGAACTGTAAAGTTTTGCTTTTGTATAACTCTCCATACCTTTAGGCTTTTATGCTGTCCTAGTAAGTTTTTTTTTGGGATGAAAGTATAGCTGGTGGATTTTGCGTTTTGAATCTGAATTGCGACCCGTTGAAAAGATCAACGAGAAATTCAGCGAGCTGATTCTCCGGGCTCTCTGAGTGAATCCTCCCATAGCACTGAGACTGGATCGGGTGGGTAGGTAAGATCGTGTCTAGGAGGCCAACGGAGATTGACTTCTCCGTGAGCCGGATATTTAGTAAGTTGTCGGCGGGTCTTATTTAAAAAGGTCTTATTTTACTTTAACTACCAAAAAGCACCAATGCAAAAGCACCACCAAATGCTACACCAAATTTGGAATAATAATATTTTGTGGCCATTATAGAGAGACTAGCATACGGCCCACCTAATGGTAAGTAATCACCGTCGCTCATGGACATCAACACTGCCACGGGCACAGCGAGTCATTCTCTATTAATACCTAAAAAATATCCGTGCAATTAATTGAAATACAATTTAATATAAACGAGGCGTATCTAGCGAAAGGTTATTTTTAATGCTTTTAATTTATCAAACGCGTCTTAAATTAAACTAAGCATGCAAAGAATGTGAAATTGTTTAATACAATATCTGCTCTCGTACGAGGATTACAAATTATCTTAAATGAAACAAGAAGACAAGTACGTGTACTCGTGAGCGTAATCCACCTTTGATGTACGAATTTGAGACAAGGGCGTTCGGTCGTGGCTCACACACAAACCGTTTATATCCGGATATATCCGACTACATCCGGATTCATCCGGCTGTGACACGGGTCGGCGACGGTCGACTCTTTGAGCTGTCATCAAACGGTTGTTGTCGCTTTTTACATTTTGACCTTCGTCAATATATTTATGCACATATTTTTCTATTTTGCAAATATGTAACATACTTGCATTTATTTTTTACTCCACAAGAGTTACAAAAACTTTGACAAGAGACGACTTTTTTTCCGTCAATTATTATTATATAATGTGTTAGTACAGACTCAAAACAAAAGAGAATTCCAAAAATTGTATGTATTTTATTGGGTTGTCCCAATCCTGAAAGATTTTATTTCTAGACAATTTCCGTAAATACCCCCCATTAAATCAATTAAGTTTCACCTAATTTAATAACAGCAACAGCCCTATGCTAATGATATTGTCGCCACAAAACGTCCGCCATAAATCTACTCGGTTAAGCGGAGCAGACACCAGGCAATTAGGAGTTGGCAGGAGTTAGTTAAAGTCTCGTATTACCCGGTCGATTCGGATAGCTTGGAATTTGCAGAGGCGATTGCCGGCTGAGAGTGAAAGTGCATTTAGCCGATTAATGCGGTCTTACCCACTAGGAATATTAATGAACGCCTTGAGCGCTCGCTCGCAGATGCTTGCTTACAAAACCCGAAGCGCCCGTGATCCAGTTGCGAAATTTAGAACTTTATTAGTTCAACTAATATGTGCCAACTACCGAGTTGAAAGCCATCAAGAAACTTGTTCCTTCCTCGCCACGCCTTATGTAGTAGTCCCTTAGATAAACTTGTGAGGTAATGTGATACTACTACATAATAATATGTACTCGTAAGTAGTAGTAAGACTACACGACGATCGCAACCACTCTGTCATGAGTGAAACGATTGAGTACCTACAAGTAGTAATATAATATTGGAATGTATTAAATCCTTACAATAGTACCTATGTAGTTTAAATTATATCATTCTGAATTTTTTATTCATTAAAACAATTCACGATTCACCGTAGGACTTGTCGATAGGTTTTTTATTCATAAGCTTCATATAAAACGAAATAAGTACTTTAAGAATAATGAGAATAACATTTAACTACTATAATATTAAAATACTATATTTTGTATGAATGTTTTGCCAGCAATAAATGAAGAATACCATCGCGTAAAGTCTTTAGGTGGTCACATTTGGCAGATCAAAAAAAGAAAACGGCCTACTGGTGGTAGGAACTCTTGTGAGTCCGCACGGGTAGGTACCACCGCCCTGCCTATTTCTGCTGTGAAGCAGTAATGTGTTTCGTTTTGAAGGGTGGGGCAGCCGTTGTAACTATACTGAGACCATAGAACTCATATCTCAAGGTGGGTGGCGGCATTTACGTTGTAGATGTCTATGGGCTCCGATAATCACTTAACATCAGGTGGGCCGTGAACTCGTCCACCCAATTAAGCAACAAAAAAATAAATAAAATAAATAATAACGGTGTAAGTCTTTAAAGTACCAGGAAAGCATACCATAGCAAGGGGTCTCGTTTGGGATCGTTCGGAGGCGCGTCGTGCTGTAGGTCGAGTTGAGAAAACAGCGGAAACAAGACTTGCACTCCCCCTATCGAGTTCAGAGCGCTGTGTATCGAATGCGTCACGACTGCTTTCACTTCCTATTGTAATAAATAAAACGTCATATAAAAACTCACGTATTGATTGAAAATAAGTGTGATTTCACACAATGAAAGATGGAAAGGTATTATGTAGTCTTTATTGTACTGAGTTTAAATCCAGAAACTTTTTTTGCAATTCAAATAAATATAGTGCTTAATATTTAAAACTCATTTAAGAATAAACACTATAACAAATTCATATTATGGTCCATATCGTAAAATCAGTTTTACACATTATTTTTGCAAGAAATTGTTTAATAGATACCAGGGCATCATAATTGCAAAGGAGGTTTCACCTGTAACATTAGGGCGTGGGGCGTGTGCACGAAGTAAGAAACGTTGCCCTTGGGTGCTGATTGGAGACACAGCTGGCCATCCGTCGCGACCGGATTATACATGAACACTATCGCAGACGACAGCTTACCGTCGTATAGTACCTGGACACGGAAATCGAGATTAAAGAAAAGATTACGTAATATTTTTATTGTAAGAATTAAACAAAAAAGAAATATGGTTTTTGATGTCATTAAATTCAAAGATTCCGAGATCAAATTAAGGTAATAATAGAATATTCAAATGTTGGAGTAAAACAAGTAACGCAAAAATTATGTAAATTCATTATTAAAAATATCAATTAATACCATACTGATTTATTCATGAAAACAAGCACATACAACAAACAGCGAAGCACTACACCAGAGAAACACACAAAACTTTAAGCTACTGTGTAAGCACATAGATGTTTTGTGAATATGTCTTTATGTAAAGTCGTTATTTATGAGCTAAAACCATTATTAGTATCTAAATCTAATTAATAGCAGTAGGGCACTTTGAAACATGACCATAAGAATATTTTCGACTTTAAATGTTTATTTTTTTTCCATTCCCGTAGATAGATACTTTTTTTCGCATGAGATATTATGATGTTATGATATTTATAATTCTAAAGTTGCGCAACACAGAGAAATCATTAAAATTCCCTGACGCACTAATATGAGATATGACGTGCATATGATAAATTGAAAGATTACTTTAATAAAACTAACTACGCATGCATCAAAGTAATCCTGAATTACTATTAATAGAAAAAAAAGATAGGTAACATGCACACAGCATCCAAAAACATGTTCATTTTATAAATATGAAACACAGTAGTAATATTGTAGTAGTTAATGGTAGGCAGCGGCTTGGCTTTGCCCCGGGCATTGCTGAAGTCCGACGGTTACCACTCACCACCAGATGGGCCGAATGCTCGTCTGCTTACAAGGGCAATAAAAAATAAAATATTTTATAATTTCTGTTACGGTACAGGCGGTGCGCGAACCATTTCAAGAAATATGCGTCTCATTTTCAGTACAGCAGAAGCTACAATCAAAGATTAGATGAATGCTTAGCTGGCTACAGTTTCAGATACACGTCAACTATGGTCCAATAATATTTTTATTGCAGAACAAAAATATACAAACACTTTGAATAAAATCATTTTAAGTCTCTCCTTCGTAACATTCGTGTTGGCTTTCAAAAAGTTTTTGTAGCGTTGTCAACTACAAACTATCTAAATCTAATTCTCTATTTTGTATGCATTGTTCGCGGATGTTAAAAATATTCCTTTATTTTAATACTGCGTGAACAAAATGGGTCCAGTTTAATTAAGTTTTGTTGGAAGCTTCAATTTAACTTAGATCTTCTCATTATGAAAATAATTACCGTTTATAGAATCTTATGTTTGTTTTTTAAGCGGTTCGAATATGTTTTTATTCGGGAACAGATTGAAATAAAATAAATAAATAAACATTTCTAAGATGTTGCTTAACCTAGCAGATTTTCTAGTGAAATCTGGTGCATTAAGGCTAATCTAAGTACCGTCTCGACGGGAGAGCACTTAGCTTCTTCAGATCCCTGTCAGCCTGGTAAGTGCAGCAATATCTTAGCTTAATAATTTATGAAAAAAACCGGATTTAAGAAACATTAACTTAAATATCAAACACCCTAACCAAACGTTCTTAAATATGTAAAAAAATTATGTTTACTGTCAAACAAATTTTATTGCAACTAACTATAATATAAATTCTACGAAAGTTTGGAAACCATTCAAAACATTGAGCGCGGCTAGTAAATGCTTGGAATCATTTGTACCGTGACAAAACTATTTCCTCGTAACTTATGGTATCCTGGTAATTCAGCAACTGTGTAAAGTAGGACGCTTGCATAGTTTGCAGGCAACTGAGATACTTTGTTCAGCTTATGGTGTAAGTTGCTGAGTTATGGTGTGGCGTTCTGTCGCCGTAGCGCTTTATTGCATACCTAAGTTTAAGTTAGCAAGCGTAGCTGGAATGTGTAAGTTATTTTTAAGTGTAATTCTAATTTTAAATAGTTTTTTATTGCCCTTGTAGGCAGACGAGCATACGGCCCACCTGATGGTGAGTGGTTACCGGCGCCCATGGACGTCAGCAATGCCAGGGGCAAAGCCAAGCCGTTGCCTAGCGTTTAATACTCTCCACAAGCCTGGTTTGAAGAAGGGCATGTCATAGCGCTCGGAAAACACTGTGGAGGGGAGCTCATTCCAAAGCCGGATAATGCGTGGCAAAAAACATCTCATAATAGGATTATCTCAAACAATTTAAGTCTGTATGGCACATTGTGAGTCAAGTTTATCACAGTATCACCTGCCCATTTATTCCGCGAAGTATTCACACGCTCTGGGTCAAAGACTGAAGAAGCAACGACTATTAAATACAAATGATAGTCAACCGGGCGTCTCAAGGTGGTTGAAGGGAAATTGCGTTGTGATGGCAATGGATTTCACTATCCATTTACCACTAATAATACATTAATATTAAAGTTAATTTAAAAGAAAATATATTTGTGAAAAGTAATACACGATTATCGGACTCCAAATTACGATTCCCTATATATTATTATAACATATACGTTTTATTAAACACACAGACAAAGAGCAAACCCGTTTGTCATGCGAATTATTTTCCGATGTGCGACTCGAATCCGTGGCGTGGCAATCTGGAGGCGGTAACTCTGTGTGCCAACGAGTCATCATGATAATTTCACTACCAGGACAACATAATCAACAAGATGTAAATATGAACGAACACTGCCGCTTACTCCATATCGTTCGGGATAGAAAAGTTTTCGAATTTGTCAACACAGGGTTCGTGTATAACTAACTCCTCTCAAGGAATTTAATATTAAAGTAGGCACAAGGCGTCCCGGCCGCTCGTTACCCGGTCTTGTTTACTCCGTTACTTACTTCTTTATAACTCGAATATTGGAATAAACAATTCATGGATGTGGAGCACAATATCTGCTAGTAAACATCACGAGGGAGAATTAGGTACATCTCGTTGTATTCGGGTTAACAACGCTGGTTGTTCGACGTTAAAACTTTTGATGTAATCATTAAGGTACACTTTCAAACGCAACACACAATTAATTAATTACTGGTGGTAGGACCTCTTGTGAGTCCGCGCGGGTAGGTACCACCACCCTGCCTATTTCTGCCGTGAAGCAGTAATGCGTTACGGTTTGAAGGGTGGGGCAGCCGTTGTAACTATACTTGAGACCTTGGAACTTATACCTCAAGGTGGGTGGCGCATTTGCGTCGTAGATGTCTATGGGCTCCAGTAACCGCTTAACACCAGGTGGGCTGTGAGATCATCCACCCACCTAGGCAATAAAAAAAAATTAACGTACCCACTGAAGTTATCATAAACATGTGAGCGCGGTTCGTCGAAGATATAATTCCCGCATATGCATAAAATTTTCATTTATTATTATGGATGCAAAAAACCTCATCTTTATGTTCAACGATGCAAGCACCAGCGAACCGCGGCATCAAGCCTCGCTCTTAAAACACTCCAGAAATATAATTTCGTTTATTGAAAATGTACCAGTATTTTCTTTAAAAAGAGTTCATTTCAACAAACATTATTGTGATTAATATTTTTTTGTAGCAAAAATAGGAGTCCTGATCTTAATAGAATCTGCGGTCTCGGCAGAAAAACGCATTTTTATATTTTTAGTATAATCGTGTCTTTAGTTGTATTTAATCATACTTTATACTAGACGAACCAGGCTTCGCTTCGCTAATTTAAATACTCTAATTTGTTAAAGCTACTCGCGAGTCACCGGTCGTACCTTGATGGTACTATCCGAGAAAATCTCCAGGTAGTGCCAACTATAGCTGCTTTTTTTTTTATTCCTACCTAAGCTGGTAGCCTAGAGAGGCTATTCCAGCGTAACCGTAACTAGTAGGTGAGCTGACGGGGCTCAAACCTGACGACGGTGCTAACACGAACCCTAGCAAGAGTTGCAGAACCTATCGCCGGATCAAAATCGCGACCCACTGAGAAGATTCGGCGAGAAACTCAGTGGACTGTGTCTATGGGTTAGTTCGCTTGTCGAACTCTTGGGGATCCTAAAAGCACCGTTTTGACTGTTTTCAATGAACAAATCTCGCTTTGACTTTTATAGTATCAAAGATTTACAGTTTAATCAGACGTTTGCGTGTTCGGGCGACCTTTTGATCATAATTAATTACCGAAACTATAATTATCACCTTCAGAAATTAACGCTAGAAAAAAATATCCCGCGTCTGTTTTTTAGTAAGAAAATCTTTTTTTTTATTGCTTAAATGCGTGGACGAGCTCACCGCCCACCTGATTTTAAGTGGTCACCGGAGTCCATAGACATCTACAACGTAAATGCCGCCGCCTATCTTGAGATAATAGTTCTAAGGTCTCAGTTTTTACAGTTCAACGGCTGCCCCACTCTTCGAACCGAAACGCATTATTGCTTCACGGCAGAAATAGGCAGGGTGGCGGTGACTACCCGCGTGCACTCACAAGACGTCCTAACACCAGTAAAAAATGCTTATTGTATTTATAATTTAAAATTCGGAACGATGGAAATTATCAAATAAATTAGATTAACATTAGCAATTAGACGAATCAAAGGTCCCGTCGTCACTCGGTAATTACGCTCGGTAGTCCATAATTTAATTTAAAAATCAATTAGAAAACTTTTAACGACTTCCCCAGCGGAGATTTTTTTCTTTAATTTATTCAGAATATTTTAATTCAGAAGCGAAGAATTATAAATGTACGCTCATTTTTGTTCTGATAGAGATTTGTTTGATTTATTCCATTATAATAATTTTAATTGTAGTTTTAAATAAAGTAATTAATATTCTTTTATTGACGTACATAAAACACCGTAGTCGTCCGGTGACAACAAAAACTGTAAAGTAATAAATACATCGAATTTAATAAAAAAGAAACAAAAAAGAAAGCAAGATTTAATTCTAAACATAATTTTAGTTATACAATTTAATATAAATAAATTTGGTGGACTTTTCATTCATTTCCTAAAGCCATGAGAAACTACGAGCGGGTCTCTTGATACTTGATTATATTTCCCATTCGAGATCTTACATAAACAATAATACACACGTCGGAGACGGTCATTTATTTGGTAGATAAACAAAACGCAGCACTTTTTTTTCCTACCTATGCTGATAGCCTTGAGAGGCTATTTCAGCTTCACCCTAACGTTTGTAGGTGAGCTCACGGGGCTCAAACCGGATTGTTGCTAACACTGACCCTAGCAAGAGCAGTGCTTCGCAGAATCTACCACGGGATCGGAAACGCGACCCACTGAGAAAATCCGGAGAGAAGCTCAGTGGGCTGTGTCTATAGGTTAATTCGCTCGTCGAGCCCTTCGTCGCAAGCGACGGGTTCGACGAGGACGGTGACCGGTGCTTCTGGCGCCTAAAAGCACCGTTAATGGATCGGGAGGATTCGTAATGACATGCTTTGGGAGAAGTCGAATGTTTACCATTCGGTCTACAGGATCGGGTGGCGCAGCACGATTCCCGAGAGATAACAGCACGATTGCGGTATCGTCGGAACTCGGCTAACTTCGTGCTACGACAGAGCCTAGCCGATGGAGAGGGAAAAGACCTCATCACACTAACCAACCAGCCTTCATGAAGAGCGGTGCCTCCGTCTTAAGAACTGTTAATCGTTTTCCTTCGCTAACGATCAAGTCACACGAGACCAATGGCTTCCGAACTAGAATTCCCTGTACCGTGGGCACCAAGAAGCAGGTGCGTTAACTACTGTGCCACCGAATCGCTAGATATACACTCACAAGTACCAGGTCATCATAAAACTGACAGACGTTTCAATAATTACAATTAAAACAGTAGCAAGTTTGCTCATCTTCAAAAAAACTCATGAGTAAATCATATGTTCAGGCCGTCTCAAATCGGCCATCGTATTCTTAAATGTTCCTTTTATCCTTAGTTCTACAAATACAGCACGAAAGTATATTAAGCTCGACTGGCAATCTACAAAACGAATATTGACATTACCCAAAATAGAAACATAAAGAGCTTTTTTACTTCGCAAATTACGAATTCAAAGAGATTTACTTTCTCGTCGGGAGATTACAGGAATCCGTGAAGAACTAATTAAACATCGTAACAAGCTTTGCGAACTAACAGAGCGGAAACAAAACCGTTTTACAGATAAAATAATTTAATGCAAATTCAATTCGATTAGTTCATATTGTGAAAACTGAATATAACACACAGCTTCTCGTTTCGCGACCAGAATGAAATGAATAATTCACGATATCTATAATATATAGGCATAGTCTTTATAAATAGCATGCATACACGGTGATTGTATAGTGGATATTCAATATTAAGTAAGTACTATTATTATTGTTACACCGATAAGAGTAACACCATCTATCGCCGAATAGCAGAAACAACCATCAAAAAATGTAGTGAGATCGAGCGTTAGAGAAGTACAACGCCATCTGTTGTCAAATGACGGAAACGCATGTCGAAAATACTCGACTAGTGAGGAATGTTCTCGATAATTCTAGGGATGTCGTATCGACTATAAAAGCGTTGCAGAGGCGGCACGAAATCAGTTAATAATGGGAACTACTCGAATCTAAACAGCGAACGGATCACCTGAAGCGAAGCGGAAGAAGAGAGTTGAGAATTTTAAAGAGTTCTGTGAGTGATTTAAGTGTTAATACAGTCTCAATTTGCACTTCGGTAGATTTTTTATTTATTCCGAACCCCGGCGCGTAATAATATTGATCTACAAACGAGGCACAGTTTTTGTGAAAGAAAAAAAAGTTTAAAGTTACAATAAACAATACGCACATACGATGGAAAATATAAATTCACGTATTTTCCTATGTATATCTATACTAATATATAAATCTACAGTGGTTTTTACGGATGTTCCGTTATAACTACTGAACCATGCATCCGATTGACTTTAAACTTGGTATCCATGTAGATACTTAATGGATAGGGGCGTTAATGATGAGAATCTTTGTGAGAGTGAGAAATAATAATGTTAATTTTAAATGCCCAGCGTAGCGGACGGGTACAGCTAGTCCTATATATGTTTGACATAAAAGGTTTATAATCTGTCGCTTATATTACTACGTATTATTACGCGGATACGGACGACTTAGGGTGTTTTAGGTCGACATTTGAATACTGAGTTAAGTACACTACTACACGATACCAAGAACATATAAAGGGTCAATTGTATCGACCGTTGGACGTCTGATTTTGAAGACCCTTCAGAGATATCCGAAGCTAAACCTCTAGTAAGATGTAACTGTTTTAAAATCGCTTTCTCAGTAAACGTGTTCTTAACTTTATAACCTATGTGTTAAAAGCTATTAAAACAGCGAAACCTTCTAACGAGAGCGTGAACAATGCTATCTATCTCGAAACAAGACGTACCTCCTACATTTGTATTAAAAAAATATAGAACCTATTTTCCAACTCGCGCGTGATTGCTTCGCAGCAAAAAAATAGATGATATCAAACAAATTTTTCTCTGACGCACGATTCATCCATACAAAAAACATTTCTTTGTGTATTCTAGAGAGAAAAGCCTCAAATGAACATCGGATAGTTATTCAAGAACGAATAACGTTTTCGAAGTTACGTAATTCGAGTTTAGCGGCCACTTTATGTTGCCGAGTTGTCTGCGACTAGCATTGAACTCACGTACTTGTTCACAAACTGATATATTATGTATTAGAAATGTTCGGAATATTAGTTATAATAGTACTCGTAGTAATAATATTTTGCAATGATTTCTTCGTGCTTATACTTTGTATGTGTTTTTAGTTTCTTACTAGTTTTAGAGTGTAATGCATTCCGTTTCAAACAAAACTGCATATTGAACTACATAACTTTTGTCTTAAGATTGAAGTATTCATACATTTAGATGGCAAAATTGTGAATATACTTTAAGCCAGTCTATTTAGTCACAACTTCGACTGGCTGAACCAATTTGAATGTGTTTTCATTAGAATATCAAAAATAATACTACTTAATATTATTATTATTCTATAGCCAAAATTATTATAGTTGTTGTATTTTTTTTAAATCAACTATAATAATTAATACTCGTAAAATAAATAGATTGTTAAATCCGATGAAAAAACAATTATACAATATTTAAAAATAAATGAAAACTGTGAAAATATTGAATTGAATACGCTTACATACGCTCACAATGCTCAGAATTCATAGCATTCTATTATTTTTGTTCAAGTAGCAAAATTTGGACATTTGTATTGAGAACTATATAGTTTCTGACAATAGACAAGTTTCGGGACAGTCGGGCCATGCGATTAGTAAACGTATGGAAAGCTCTTTGTAAGCCGCTCGCTTTGTTAATGCACTAGTTGTTTTGTTTAAGCCATTTATACGACGATACATTTATATTGCTTTTCGGATAAAGTATCCGTGACGGTCCAGACAACACAGCATCTTCCGCACAAAAGCGTTTCACAAACGCGGGCATTAACTCGTCTTTTGTTACTTCTTTATCTTTCGGCGCCTAAATGATTTTCAATTAAATCTGTCGCCGAGTTGAGACGATTATCTTGAGCACTTAATTCTAAATTGTTTTACCCAAATAACATTACGAAACCCAAGAGGCATGCGAAGTAAACGATCCGAAAGCATCAGGATATCATGAAGTTAGTAGAAGTTTCACGGGCATCATTAACCAGGGTTAGATATCGGATGCGAATCTAAAATTGAACTGTCTTACGTCGTGAACGTTTTGCATCGGGTCATGTATAAGTTCTCCGTAGCGGTCTACGCGGACTTCTGTAGTCGGAAGCTGCATTGGACACTCCGAGTCGAAGCGAAACTGACCCTGTCACCACAAGTAAACGGAAACACGGATGACATTAAATTATTGATAGACGAGAGGTAGTGGATGTTTTAGAATGTGTTTTTGTGACGGACAAACAGAAGCTAGTAACAAACACACAAAATTGTAAGGGGCAAGCGACGCTGCATGCTTACACGCTTGCATGCTTCGATATCTACGAGCAGGGAGGCATGCGCGGCAGCCACTTCTCGCGCCTCATCCGCCAGCCGGCGTCCCCGGGGCGTCGCGTCTTCTTTAAACACTACGCATGCTCCTTCTGTTTCTGTTCTCCTAGTATCTTCTTGCGAAGCGGGTTCCAGGGATACGGGTTCGGGGGTTCGGGGGGGAGAGGATTCAGTATCTGGAGGTGGAGCGTCAGCGTTTTCAAGCATGGGAGCGGTCGTCTCGCTCACCCTTTTGTGGTTCTCCGGCAAACTGATGTTGCATTCGTTGTCGAAACGGAACTGACTCTGTTGATCCACGGCCGGCAGGAAATAAAGTTAAAATATGTCTTTACAATAAATTAAACAAAGATTTAAAAGGCAAGTAATGTTCTTTGTAACCTTTTACTTATAATTTAAGTACCGTATTGCTGTATTTCTAATCTTACCTTGTATCCGGGCCCTAGTCTATGCATGGCGCATATCTGGTGAGTAGTTAGAGCTTCTCCGAACAGGTATATGGCTGCCATCTGTCCGCAGAACACCCTCTCCTCGTCCAATTCAGCTGTAGCACCGATGTAGCACTTGTCGAATGGCTGAAACAATATTCGTAGTAGTAACAAAAGTACTTTGAAGTATGCAACTTTGAATCCGCGCCTTTATTCCCGATGCTGTGTCCTAGGGTGCCGACATTTTCATTTATTACTGCGGTACGTTCTCGGCCCTGATACTAAAGACTTATCAGCTTTAAGACACAAGGTCAAAGCCGCTACTCACTTAGATACTTCAGGTGGAACTTGCATTTCATCGGAACCGCCGCCAACTGCTTTAGAGTATTTTCAAACCTCGTTTGGAAAAGAGCATGCTACAGCTTAGGATACACTCATCACGTTTGCTTAGCAACGATATCAGGTAGAACAGTGGCACCAGATCATGCTGGTTTGTAGGATAGTAATGTACAGGTATCTTGTCTTGTATCTACTATATGTATATATTTTACTAGCTTTTGCCCGCGACTCCGTCCGCGTGGAATAGTTACTTTGGCATAACGCTAAATTTTACCTCCCACTTCATTTACGTAGACAGTGAAAACTATTTTTGAATTATAGAGTGTTAATTCTACCGTGATTTTATGTAGCCTATAGCCTTCCTCAATAAATGGGCTATCTAATCTAACTGAAAAATTTTTTTTTAATCGGACCATTAGTTCTTGAGATTAGCGCGTTCAAACAGACAAACTCTTCAGCTTTACAATATTAAGAGTATAGATAATATGTATTTACTATTACTGTCGATGAATGATGTGAGAAAAATAAAGGAGGTTTAAGGATCCCAAATATTAGTAATTTCAAATTATTATTACGGTATCCATTCCAGCCGTCTAATTTAATTTCGCTTCAATGAAATTACTATTTATTTAACAACTGTGTTTGAATTTCAAAAACATGCGAGAGAAACGGCGCTTATTATTCAAAGCATTAATCAACATCAGACGAAATATTCCAAGTAAATCGGTAATTTAATTATGATGACAATTATCTCGACATTTCAAGTCAACGGTTATATTTAGTTTGTAATTAAAGTAACAAAAATATGTTGCTAGGGTTGGTAGCCTTTAGTATATTTTTTTTATATCTCCAATTTCGATACATATTGCGGTAAACGTTTCGGTAATCTATTGATGATGAATGAATAAATGATATTTGAACCGAATGAGTAGAATTTAAGGGTTAAATAAGCTCAAAAATTAAACAAAAACAAACTCGCTTAAATATCAAATCTTTTATCCTATTGATACTGGTTAGGGTTAGGATATTAGAGTTATAAAATTATTGCATTATCATCGATTCTTGATGCGTATGTATTTTCAAGTTAATCGGACGTTGAGGAGTCGGTAACATAACCTTCAACTGTTACAAACAAACATATAAAATATATGTACATACCAAGCTAATAAAAACGTTTTAAAATCAATTCAATTATGGTTCATTATCTGATAAAGAATGTCCGAAAAGAAGCTTTAGAATTACATAGATTAAAACGTCTATATATTAGCTTGGTTCTATGTTATGGTAAAATTAAAAAGGACTAGATTTATTATTGGTCCTATGGCGACCGAGCCAGTGGCGGTGAAAACTTGTCTAATATAAAACGAACGAGGTTAGATCATGTAATTTATTGGCGGCATCCCGGCCCAATAAACGTTCAGAGCTTTCGCCGACAGAAAACATGTTTGTGCAGAATAACTGTTCAGTTTAACCACATAATAGGATAGTTTTGCGTCACTCAAGAGGATGATTCTATTACGAAGTAACTCCACGTAAACATACAAAAATGTAATCAAAATTAAACCGATAAAAATTTGATTTTGTTTGTTATCTTTCAATTGATTTAATAATATTTTTTGTTGGATTTTTACATTATAATAGTAGTAGTTTTGTATATTGAAATTGTCTAGTATGTTCCTTTTTATAGTTTTAGTATTAATTAAACTTTACCGTTAGCGCTTAATATTTATTACTAGATATAGTAACTGACTAACAATATTTTTAATATATTATATAATAAATATTTTCCTTCAAAAACGCAAGAGGTTCTAAATTCGACTGTATGTTTTTTTTATGTTTGTTACCTCATAACTTTTAACTAGGTAAATCGATTTTGATGATTCTTTTTTTATTAGAAAGCTGACGCTTCCCGTGTGGTCCCATTTCAATGTAGTCCAGTTCTGATAATGGTATCCATGAGAAAGCCATATAAGTCTTAAATTTGCATTAAGTACGTGCGCGACAAATAGATAAATAACTCAATAACTCAATATCACGCCAACCGATTTCGATGATTTTTGTTTTGTGTTTTTTTTTCTTTCTGAATATCTTTTTTTTTCTATTTCAAGTCGGTTTTTGTTAAAGCATGCCTATTTACAATTATTAGGACCAAGAGACCATTAAAAAAAAGGATTTAATTTAATTTAATAAATCCTGCGACTATCACTCCTAATCCCGAAACATTAAAGTACTAGGAAAGCATAAAACTCAAGATGTGTCGTCATATTACGTTTCATTATTCAATTCGGTGAGCCGGATGTAGGCTCCGATTTATACAGGAATTCGTTCGGATCGCGGCATACGCGGTGAAAAACTTGTCTAATATAAAATAAACGAGCTAGACCGAGAAATTTATCGACAGAATTCGGGGCCAATAAACGTGCCGAGATCTCCCCTCGCCACACATGTTTGCTTCGAACACCAGTTTTACCAGAACAAAGGTTACATTAATCCTGCAATAAATTCGCTATTTATCTTTAGACGAGAGTAATTGAAGACATTCAGGATAATAATTAGTGTTAATAAAACAATCCCAGAACAATTACGACTATAAATCTTGAATATAAAGGTTTATTAAGTGTTATAATTCAGGGATTATTTAAGGAATAACAGTTAGTATAGGTATTATATTAATAATTACACTAAGTATTATTTTAAATGATTTTTAAGATCCGTCTGAAATATGAATAAATATACAAAGCCCTTTTAATATGCGTGACCACGACTCGCCATCTGAATATTCATTTTCTTTTGCATATGCATATATTATCTAAACTTGCATCGTGTGGCGGGGTCTTAACGCGACTAAGCTACCTACCTACTTGTAATATAACACACTAATATTTGACAATTTGTTTGTGAATGATTTCTTTTCGTTCCGGGCGGGTTTAAATGTCGTTTATTTAGGATTATTTTAAATAAGACGAATATTTTGAATTTTAGACCAAAAAAAAAATACTAGCGAATATTGAAAACACCATAATCCTATCTCAAAGAACCAAATCACAAAATCTATACATATAAATAAAATTGGAGTGTCTGTTTGTAATATTGAAATAACCGCTTTTCACTATCATGCATATGAATATAATAGGTTGGGGAAAAAGTTTCTTCGCATTTTTTAAGAAAATTCATAACGTTTTTTTAAGTAGTTTATTTACATTTAACTAAAGCATGTAGGTACCATTTTGTTTGATAACTTTTTGCCATCTCGTAGGTGTAGGACATGATCCCATTGCTATAGAAATTTTGGGGCTTCTGATCAAAATACCGCGACAATTGATTTCTATTTCATTCTTCAAATTGAGTTCTATTTAAAAATATAATGTGCGCTCCGCAGCCCCATATCTTAATCTATAATATTGTCCCAATTCAGTCAATCCTCAAGATATTCTTTCCTACACATTAAACTCCTGCATTATCATGAAGTCCCCGTTCATTCGGAGACATTTGCATGGCATTACTGGTTATAAATTGCTTCTAACGACACATACGTGACGACAAGTCGAACGCGCTACTCGCAGAGTCGGGGATGTTCACCGTAGATAACCGAAATGTGTATTATGTTAAGCTCCCGTCGAATTATGGAAGCCTGGTACATAAAGGTGGATTAAGCGGTAGCTTAGCTTGTTAAATCATCTAATTTATATGCATGTACTTCATCGAATCTATCTTATTGTTCAAGAAAAACGTTTTACAGTTTGCTTAAAAATATATTGTTGTATGTGTAAACCAGTCTTTCCCAAAGTGTGCGATAACGCCCCCTTGTGGGCGCTGCAGGCTTAATGGGGGGGCGGTAATAGACCCACAAAAAAATGGGGGCGGGCTTGGGAGGCGATTTGTAATTTTATCTAGACACAGACTGAGCTCTCACTATAGTGGTATTTAAGTAGGTAGAAGAAATGGGGGCGCTAAAAAATAATTTATTCTCAAAGTGGGCAGTAAACAAAATAAGTTTGGGAGCCACTGGTGTAAACAAAAGGTGTATAAAGGAATCTCTGAACGTCATTTTCACCGACATCGACTTGTTCGATTAACTTAAATATTCACATCTTTTTTTTTTCCTACTTTTGCTCACAGCCTTGAGAGGCTATTTCACCCTAACGTGTGTAGGTGAGCTCACGGGGCTCAAACCGGAGTGTTGCTAACACTGACCCTAGCAAGAGCAGTGCTTCGCAGAATCTACCACCGGATCGGAAACGCGACCCACTGAGAAGATCCGGCGAGAAACTCAGTGGGCTGTGTCTATGGGTTAATTCGCTCACCGAGCCCTTCGTTGCAAGCGACGAGTTCGACGAGGACGGTGACCGGTGCTTGTGGTGCCTAAAAGCACCGGATCCGTGAGGACGTGCTTTGGGCGACGTCGACTGTTTACCATTCGGTCTACAGGATCGGGAAGTTCACATCAAGGACCGATGGTAGTACAACAATTTTATAATACTTGTAATGAAACTTACATCATTGGTGGAGACGAACCAGGCCATCTCAGTGCTCGATGCCAGCTGACCATTCACTAGACACTTGATTTCGCTTTTCGTCCATCTATTGTATATATAGACGACTGCTATCGCATACCATCTGTGAATAAAGAGTTCGACTGTAGCGACATATATAATTAAATAACGTAATCTTTGAACTATTTACTGTTCGATCACTGGAAATGGCAGGGCAAGGTCGAGGGGAAAGAGATCAAGCCAAACCGTTTAATGCTAAAGACTTCTCAAATCCTATTTGAAGAAGGGCATGTCATAGGGTTCAGGAGACACCATGGAGGAAAGTCCATTCCAAATCAGGAACAGCAAAAAAAAGTATTTGGAAACACGCTTGGAAGCACGCCGGCATCTCGTTTTTACCATCGCACCGCCCGCCACCGGAGTAGAGTTCATCCATACTACCTGGAGCCACTGCGGTCATCCACAGTGCGTGTCCAGAGATCTTTTTTGCCACGTACCATCCGGCTATGGAATGAGCTCCCCTCCACGGTGTTTCCCGAGCGCTATGGCATGTCCTTAAGCGGTAGGCAGCGGCTTGGCTCTGCCCCTGGCATTGCTGAAGTCCATGGGCGACGGTAACCACTCACCATTAGGTGGGCCGTATGCTCGTCTGTCTACAAGGGCAATAAAAAAAAACACGCTACGTCCGAACGCAGTGGGTCCTGATAATGTAAATGAACTATTCCTATGACGGAGGAAACTATCTTAAAAAAACTTAAGAAACGGTAAATCATCATGAACAATTCCTCAGGGCAATTCCCATACAACATCTGGCACTAAACACAGAGTATCGAGGTTCCTCCGTCGACCCAGAGGTATCATTAGTGCCTGTATAAAACAAGTTGAAACTGACAAATTGAGTAATTACACCAGGCCCTCATACCCTAAGAGGATGTTGCCCAGAAAAACAACTGACGAAATTTTACTAAAATGTCGACAGAATATCAACGAAAGCATAATGATATTAAAAACTTCCTAAGTTTGTCTGTGGGCATTAAATAAATTTACTTTGTAAACTAGCAAGCGATTACTCAAATTAGTAAAATACGTCCATGTAGAATATGAGTCTGCATTATATTTTTCTCTGTAGAAATGACGAATCATCGCAAAACACAGATTGACTTCGAAACGGATTTTGAAATTAAATAATGTAACATAAGCATAGCGCGATTTAGGAAACTATTGTAATAACTCCATGTTCGAAATGCTACGGTAAATACGATTTTAATATAATATATATCATAAAGAATGCAAGTGTTTATGAAGAACAAATAAAAAAAATATATCACCATCATTTTATTTATACATATTAAAGATCCAAGAACCGACATTAACTGCAGGATTATTATTTTAAGACCATTTTAAAACACGAAACTCCGTTTTGGGAGCGTCGGTAACTAAACATAGGTTACATTGTACTCTCGCTTCGAGATTCTTGAATAATAGCTATCTTACCTCCTCGGTTGAAATTCGTATTTCACGCAGTGCTGGAACCCCTTGCCTCGGATCTTCATGGATGTAAGCACGAGGCAGTTACCGACGAAGTGCGCTGTGTAGCCGACGCCTTTACTTGTTTTAAAGCTGCGAGAGATTACACGTATTTGAGTCGACTATTATCAAAGCCGGCAATGTGACTTTTGGACAATTATTGGTAAATCAGAAAAACGAATTATTGACTTTGTATTCCATTGGCAGTCAAAAAACTCTTCTGAACGACATCTTAGATAAATAACAGGTTAAGTATTAACCTTTATTTAATGCAGGTTTTGAACCGTATTCTTTGAAGGAGACGATTATATTCAAATCAATCTGAATTGACATATCAATAACATTTTTTTGTCCAAATGTATAGATTGCCACCTTTGATAATAGACGACTCATTTATCGTTTTTGAACTAAATTTCTTACGCATTGTTTACTGTTGTGTGTTGTGAGTCCGCACGGGTAGGTACCACCGCCCTGCCTATTTCTGCTGTGAAGCAGTAATGCGTTTCGGTTTGAAGGGTGGGGCAGCGGTTGTAACTATACTTGAGACCTTAGAACTTATATCTCAAGGTGGGTGGCGCATTTACGTTGTAGACGTCTATGGGCTCCAGTAACCACTTATCACCAGGTGAGCTGTGAGCTCGTCCACCCACTAAGAAATAAAAAAATTAAAAAACGCAGACAATTTCTGATCCTTCCCGTGATGTTTCCCTATCTGATCGTGATTCTAGATTGTTCATTTTCATTTAAAGATTATAAAATATAAATTTTCCCGTTAAATATTCTCAAAAAATATACCAGGATAGCATAAATGAGAGTAGCAAGTACGTTTGAAACGACAGGTCTACTCAAGTCAAGAAGAAACAGCAGAACTCAGGTGCGGTCCGAACCGCCGCGTGTGTTTTACCAGAATACTAACCACTTAAAGGTATATCTCAGTATAAATTGACCCGGGTGAATTGTTGCGAGGATTACATCGTACCTCTGTTATATTACGTGAGATATTTCGGTCGGAAGATAGAAATGAAGCTATATTCATTATAAAAGATGTTGTTAGTTGGACGTTTTTAATACGATACGCTTTGAAAAAGCAAAAATAAAAAGAGATTTACCAGGTGGCTAACAGCTTGCTAACATCAGGTGGGCCGTGAGCTCGTCCACTTAGCACCGAGTGATCCGTTATTACGTACACCGATATCAGCAATAATAACATAATTCACTAAAAAAGGTTCCGGTACCCGAACGCGGAAGTTTAGACTATAATTTCTAGAATTTTCTTGAAGATAGAATATATAATATGGATATAGTACGCAAGAAAATATCAAATTGCTATCTTTTTACTTCTTTTGGCAAATAATTTTCTTTTTTATTTGTTTATTATTCTATTCTACTTTAGCCCACTTTAAAAAAAAAATAACAAAACAAATAGGAAAATTATATATAACTAGCAACTGGTGTAGGGAGTCCAAAACTCATATAAATATTAGCCTATCCATTAAGTACATGTATTTTCTACATGGATACCAAATTTCAAGTCAATCGAATGCATGGGTCAGTAGTTATAACGGAACATCCGTAAAAACCACTGTAGATTTATAATTATATTAGTATACACCAGTATAGACTTGTATATACTACTATATACTGGTATAGACTAGTTTATATGAATCAAAATCCTGAGGTGCTTCTAAAAGTTTGTCGAACGATTTGTCAATGGAAATACATACCAGTACAAATAAGGCTTTTCCCTTTCGATGTTGACGGAGTTGATGGGATCCAGTCTGAACCAGGTGGTGAACGTGAAGCCGTTCTCGTAAGGCCACCGCGCCAACGGCGGTAGTACTACGGCCTGAAACAATATCAACATTGTAGAGACGGTTGTATTTACTTTTTGCTCACGGACCCCTAGCGCCTAGCTTCGGAGCTTCCGTTCATACACTAAGCTGATGAGGAACAATTTGTTGAGTCTCTATTTTAGTAAGGATTAATAAGACACGTGTTCAGTTAAGTGACTAACGTATATTGGGATTACAACCTAACGTGCTATCGACAGCCCGACAATCCCGAGACTGACGTAGCATCACTGCAATATTATTACCGCTAACACATACATATAATTATGGGGACATTTGCGGTCCCTACAAATTAAATGTAAATGTGTCAACTGCTCCGACTTATCCGACCTTAGTGACGGGGCAACGCAAAGTCGCCCTCGCCCGAAATATGTCTTATCGAATCTCTCGGGTCCATTCTCGGTACTTTTGCTCAAGCACCGGTCCCCATCCTCGCAGTAATCGAAGAGTTCGACGAGCGAACGAACCAATAGACCTAGCTCACTGAGTTTCTCACCGGATCTTCTCAGTGGGTCGCTATTCAGATCCGGTAGTAGATTCTATCGTTTGTCAAACGCGTTGAAATACGCGATCATCGATATATTACCGATATATTAATATCGATATATTATTATGGTAATGTATCGATGTACGCGATAGTACAAAAATTGGTACCCGCCTGCGGGATTCGAACACCGGCACCACATTGCATCACTTGATAAAAATGAACTAGGCGTCTTATCCTTTAGGCTAAGACGAATATTGAACCCAAAATATAAATATGACGACGCGTTTTGTGACTTAACATAGCGAGTTCACATAATTTAAAATAATATAATAAAACAGAACCTGTGTAAAGCAATTGACGTTAAAGAAATGACTAAAAGGACAACTTCGCTTTACCCTACCAAGTATTAAGTGTATATACCTGCCCATTAGCACCACAACCACCTGAACACTACCAGCCTCGAAAAACCAAGTTAAACTCTCGATTTAATTCACTTTAACCTCGAATTAAGTACAGCATAAAATACGTAAAACACTAGGTAAACTTATACGATATTTTCGTTCCATCTCTTAAATCGATTCCGATCAAATCTTGGCAAATGGAGTGGCAGTAAAAACTTCGTTTATTGTATGAGTTCGAAGCATTTCGGACTCCCGGTAAGCGATCCCTTCGCGCGATACACCATCAATAAAATCTACATACTTTTATAAGTTTTGGAGTGGAGTCTCTTTGCTTATGTGTATTTAGCTTCTAAAACATACATCGCTGTCCAAGAGCCGACATTTTAACTCATACAATCGTATACTGATACTTCGTAAGATGTTCTAGAATTTGTCACTTTTAGAATTACTTTTTTCAGACCACTAAAATTTTGAACCTCAATAATAAGGACACAAAGAGCTCCGACAATCACTTCATTTATTTAATTATAATAAAATAATTGTATATTGAAACTTTAGTGAAATTATATTTCTTCCCGTTTCAAAGGGGAATGATCCAAAAATACATTCTTGTGAAATAAATTAACTCTCACAACCCTATTATGTGTTTGTTCTTTTAAACTAATAATTAAATTAACTTTATATAATTTAAAAATATTCATGTTTCGTTATACTGACACGTCGAGCATGGAAAATAACATTTCCTTCTGAGTTGTTTTTCCGAGTTAAGAAAAAATATTTGCTTATGAAAAAAAAACGTTATAAAAATTAAAGGTATTTCATGGAATTATTTGCACAACGTAAATAAATTCAATACATTAGAATTACAGAGAAGAACAATCTTTTTGATTTTTAAGTCGTCCCACGTACATGCGTCCGCCCATACTACATACATAAAAATATAGTAGGTACATATGTAAAACCAAAATATTCTGTCGAAATACAGTNTTGCTTATGAAAAAAAAAACGTTATAAAAATTAAAGGTATTTCATGGAATTATTTGCACAACGTAAATAAATTCAATACATTAGAATTACAGAGAAGAACAATCTTTTTGATTTTTAAGTCGTCCCACGTACATGCGTCCGCCCATACTACATACATAAAAATATAGTAGGTACATATGTAAAACCAAAATATTCTGTCGAAATACAGTTTCGGCTTACTAAGTCAATTGTGCTGTTTTTTTCCATATAAATATTTTTTAAGTCAAAATCCGCTTGGTCTTCAGTTGCTATCGAAATATGCAGAATGGAAGTACTTATGGGTGCGGGCTGGTGCGGGCACTCAATACGTACTATCGTCCATCCGATCCACTAACATTGTCATTAGACGCCTGCAGCATTAGAAGCAACCATAGGGACCCTTGTAGCCGTACTCACCAAAGAGTTCGACGTAAAACCTAACCCATTCATCAGCACGCCGGATCTTCACAGCGGATCGCGATTCTGATTCGGTAGCGGAAGCGTTCGCGAAGCAACTACTATTAGCTGTTAGCTTCAGATGTCAGCTTTGGAAGCTCTCCGTCAGTCGTTATAGCAATTCCTATCCTTCCTGGCTGATCCCTTGTTAGTACTTACTGTCTTATCCTATCAGTAAGAGCTCCCTCCCAAAAAAAACATTCCACCGCCGGTATGCACCATACTTTATACAATGCATAAATCACTTATAATTCGGATTTTCTTTCTACTATATTTTAAAACAATCATGAAATTCCCCGAAAAACGATAAATGATAATTGTGGTTGTAAATGATTTAATTCCATAATTATTATAATACCAGAGATGATTTGTAATTATGAAGTGAGAGAGAAGAGACATTCAAGAGGTCACTGCATCCCGAATGTCATGATTATTTCGCATCAAAGTACCAGGCGTGCAGAATACGAGGTGTCAGCTGTGCGTCAGATCGTCGGATAAGAACGACGGAGAGAAATGGAGCCGGCTCGAGACGGGATTGCGATAAATAAGGAAAAAAACGGACACACTGATAGCCCAGTATGTCACGCGGATTACACCGCCGCCCCGGCCCGTATTTGAATAAGAATTGCCAATAAAGACGGTTGGCCCACTAAACTGCTCCTAAAGTGTCATGTTCTCCTGGTATCGATCTGTTTGAGCAAGTTGCGGTTTATAGAGGTATCTCTAGTTGAATTGTTTGGATCTATTTTAAATCTTTCTTGTTTTATAAAAAAAGCACAATGAGTTCTATTTTCACAAAAAAAAACAATGTTATAATAACACAAAGTTTCAGAACCTTAAAACATGTAACGCAATAACAATGTAGTGAGTTACAAAGGTGAACCGTCCAAGTTTAAATGGCGTGGGTCGCCAGCCGCTTCGAGCCCGAGGCTAAGCTCGTCCGTCATAACACATGAATATTTGCGTAAATACAGGAGTGGACGTGTGTGAAAAATTAAATTTATAAATTAAATATAGTTGCTACCTAAAGAAAAATATGTATTTATTTGCTAACTAGCGACTTGCTATCGCATCGCTTCGGGGACTGTAATTTATTATAGATCTTATTGAATATTCCTTTAAACATACTGACTATATTTGTAACTATACTGATACCTCATATTTCAAGGTAGGCGGCGCCATTTACGTTATAGATGTCTATGGGCTTCGGTAACCACTTAGCATCAGGTGGGTTGTGAGCTTCGTCCATCCAACTAAGCATTAAAAAAAAGAAGGTCCTATCAGTAACAAAAACAATAAAAGAAGTCAGTAACGAACAAAAAACCTCATTTTTCTAATGGTTCACTATTTTAACGATAATGGCTTACAAATAAAAGATAGATGCTGTTACGGGTTGTTTTTTGTAGGGCTATTTGAGATAAACATTTCCCCTTTACATTACATACATACGTACGTGTAGCTAGCTCCAACAGTTTTTGCGGCGCACGCAAAAATAGCCCGCAGATAGCAGATTTTTTTTCCATCTTACTTGACACTTATCGTTATATTTTGGGTAATTCACACCATATTTTTATAAACTATAGCCTATGTGTTATTCTGATGTGTAAGCTTAGTGTCATATTTATTTATATCAAATCCATAGCCTAAACAATAAGTTTCAAGCTTTTAGCTATCAAAATGTCGATACTTCCCATCTTAACTTAACATAACTTTTCATCCCACCCTTTCAACCCTTTTTTTTTCGAATTAAAAAGTAGCCTATGTCCTTTCTCAGGCTCTAGACTATCTGTGTACCAAATTTCATTTAAATAGGTTTTAAATCGGTTCAGTAGTTTTGGCGTGAAAGCCGAAGTTTGGCGACAAACAGACAAAGTTACTTTCTCATTTATAATATTAGTATGGATAACTGGTGGTGCGGTATCTTGTCATGTCTCAAGGTGGGTGGCGACATTTATCTAGTGACATCTATCGCATCCAGTAACCGCTTAAAATTGGTTGGGCCGGGAGCTTGTTTATACTTCTAAGGAATCAAAACTGAAACGAAAACAATTTAACGGCCGTCTGGTGTAGTGGTAAGTGACATGGTCACTACACAAGGGGGTCGCGGGTTCGAATCCCGCCAAGGGAAGATATTTGTATGATAAATATAAATGTCTTTTCCAGGGTTATGGATGTATATTAAATATATGTACGTGTATAATAAAAATCTTACATTTATATCCGTTATCTGGTACCTGTAACACAAGTTCTTTACGAACTTATCACGGGACCAGTTTACGTGGTGTGATTGTTAGTAAATATTTATTTATTTATTTAATCCGTTTCTATCAGAACGTTTATAACTATTTGTTTCAATTTTAATGCGCACAATTCACACATATGTACATATTTTTGTATATATTACATACCAACACTTTGACAAATCATGCAGATTCAAAGACGTTTTTCCTTTCACCTATCAGTCTTTTAAATAGTTTCGGAAAAGTTTCTGCGATCGCCAAATCCGGTATTCGAATAATAAATAAATGAATAAATCATGCAATACCAAAAAATGTAGGTACGTTCTGGGACATCATCTTTGTAATAAGACAAAATGGAAGCTAATTATTTAACAGGTATTATAATTCCACATCGAAAATAAAAAATA